CAGGTGCCGATGCAACCTAATCCTGAAGTAACATTTTGCATTTAGATGGGGAGAATCGCATTCCGAACATGCCTGCATTGTTGCTTATAGTGGTCAGAAGACTGCATTTTGTCAGCGTCTTCACCGAGTAAAACTATGTCATCAGCGTATTCTAAGTGAACAAGTGAGCCTCCCGGTAAAAGTTCAACTCCAGGAGATTGAGATGATGAAAGTGATATCTCTAAAAGCATGTCAACGACAAAGTTAAACAAGAATGGGGAGAGGACAGCCTTGACGAACACTACTTGAGGTAATCAATTCTGATGACCATTGTACGTGAACAGCGTACAGACTATTAAATATGTGATTTCATTTCCTCTTATTGGTTTCTACTCCGAAGTCACCAAGAGTGACTGCATGTAATTATGTGGAATAAAGTATTGTCTAGAGTAATTCTGATTATCTATTCTGGGTCATGAATCGCGTATCTGATATAACAGGCCTACTTTCTGTAATATATACTGTTCGAGTATCCCGTCTAGCTATATTACAAACTCGGTCGACCAGTCTTGTCACTATTATCTTAGTAGTATGGTATGCCTCAGAGAATAAAACCTTTTGTTTCATCCTTTATATCACGGTGTAATAAATGCATAACAGGGGAACTATGATGTCACCGTAATGTAGCGGTTAAATGTGGACAGCTAGTCTTAAACGTCAACCTATATGACCTACCACTAAAATAGAAACTATCAAGGTTTATCTCCAAATGATTTGACCATGAGCTTGTAAAAGGATATAGGGGTATCGATTTCGATCTGTAAACGGAATTACACCATCAGTTGACTGAAAGCACATTCTGTATGTATTAGTACTACTGATACAAAATCAAAGTGCTTCCAAAGTCGCTTCTAACGCTGTCAAAGTTAGCTTTACAATCAGCTGGATGTTCAATTTTGGGGACCTTGAACAAGATAACAGAATAGTCGTTAGATATAACTAAATCTAGGACGAAATGATTTAAGGCAGTTAAGTGATACAAACAAGAGGTGATTAAGTTCTCATCTAGTTCATTAATTATTAGTTCTCGATGACGCAAAATCTATCAAGTAACTGAATCCATTAAAATTATCGTTCGGAAATATAGATCAATATCAGGAGGATATGGATAACTCCCATATCAAAAGTCATCCCTATACCTTCCCAAGGTAAACAATTAGGGTTTTTAACGTACCCTACAAATGACATGGAAACACTTTATTTGCTGACACTTATCCACCTTCAGAACTCAAGTAATAAGGAAGCTTAGGTGTGAAAGAAAGGTTTTAATTACAGGTGAAAGTAATAGTTAACTAGGTTGTAAGTGATAATCATTTTGGAATAACAAATCGAATCATTTATTTATTATATTTTAGACAATATAAATATGTTAAGTGGCCCTTTATCTGACTCCAATTAGGTCGTTTGTTGATTGTTATTGAGAGATACATCCCAGCTTCCTTCGTATATAATTATCGACTCAATACGTGTTAGTGCCAAATACGAAAATCTTTCATAATTGAAATTATGAGTCAATTGAAACTAGACCACCATGGAAAACCTGGAAGCACTGGACGGCTGTTTCGTTCTATTATGGGACTCGTCAGCAGTACGCATCCACGATCCTGAACTCCGAGATTCGAATTCAGGACCTACAAGTCTCGCGCCAGAGCACTTAACCGATAGACCATTGAGCCGTCCGGCATCCAACGGTGTTAATGTCTAACTTCAACCAATCCTCGATATTTGAGTAATTCTTCACCAATTGTCTTCAGTGAGTTGATATCTCTACAACAGACTTAGTAGAACTCCACTGATCACTGCTTCCCATTAGAATTCAAGGAAACATTCCTTGAAGTCAGTCACTAGTGAGCATATGATTATCGATCAGAAGGTGGTGGTGAAGGGGGGCTGAAGCGTATTTCAGAAGGCAAGTGAACCAACTCACTATAATCAAATGTAACTCGATATTTATAGTGAAACAAAAATACCTTACAGACACGTAATCAATAGGGTAAGCAATTAACAGATATACGATCATATAAAAATAGTCAGGGGTAATAAGTCAGTAATGGAAAAGGTCAAAATGTAGCTTCAGAAGAATGGATAGATTGATCTGTCTAGGAACTTGAAAACAGTAGGTGTGCAATATGCGATTGATAATCATTGAGTCATGCTATGTGTTGTCAGAAAACCAAAATGGAAGGTTAAAGGTCATTTTATGTAAACGAAAAATTTACGGGCAATGCTGGTATTTGTACTGATTACCAGAGTTGATAAAACAATGTAAATAATAACAAAAATTATAAGCAAAGATGGATAGTGACCAGCAGTGGAATCCAGGACGCGCGTTTCGTCCTATTTGGGACAGCTGGATGTACATGCTAGTCACTATCCATCTTTGCTTACAATACTTGTGAATTAAGACTTTATCGAGGAAATACACACAGTATGCACATATGCCAATTAGAAACTGACCAGTCGCAGTCCTAACACATCGATGGGAAGATTCAAACAAACAATACTAAATGAAAGTAACAAAAATTAGTTGCAAAATAGGTCTACTTTAACTATCCCCTACATATATGGACGAAAATATGAAGCTAATTAGTTAATTAAGATTTTCAGGCTTCTTAGTATATCTCGCTATTTCCAACTTATTTATAAAGGTCTAAAGAATTTCTGTGTTTTTGAATAGTTACATATTTGGTTTATTCAGTATTAGTGTAAGTAGTGGCTCAAGATCTGATTCACATTTGAATGTACATAAGAATATGCAATGAGTATGAAATTTTCTATAACATCGTGTAGTACAGTTAGGCTAAACACGTTTGAGCGTCAGCAGTAATAAGAAGCCGAAATAGATTAAGTACAGTAAATTAATTACAGGCAATCGTTAACTCAGAAACACATTCAGAAAAGCGGCAGAGAGAGCGAGAAAGAAGTATACATGGCGTGCGAGTCAGGAATAGAATGTCTGGCAGCAGCGGAAATTCGTGAAGTTCCAGGAGGAAACAACGTCAACAGAAAGCGATTGGTATTGAAATGAAGGAACAGTGAATTGTGGGACGATTGTATGACATTCGCATAGGATAAAGTCAAGGTTCATTGATATTTTGCAAATTAAGTATTTACTGTTTTCCTCTCACATTTTACTAAGACATTCTGCAATTTTCACTTCAAATACATTGGATTGTCCCCACTCCGTCCCCTGTTACTTAAACACTTCATTTAATTCATTCACAACACCGAACAGTCACAGTCACTTGCCTAGTCCCACTCACTCACAACATCGTCTCCTCACTGTATCCAACTACTACTGTCATGTGTGCCGATTGCTGCTTAACTCAGTGTGAACTTGATTCAGCACGTGGGATGGCATGCAGACACATTGAGTGGACAAGTGTCAAACAGACAGGATGAAACACACTCTTCCTCACTGACTCATCGTCTCAACGTGTTACACTGCGTAGTTTGTCGAAGCAGACAGTGGTGGATGGATTGAGAGGGGGTGATGAGTGGTGAGTGGTTGTGTGGTTGATTGATTGATTGATTGAGTGTGTGAGGGAAAAATTCATCAATATTTCTCAACATGAATTATATTAATGAGCCATCGTATATGACATGCCATTTTGACTTCTTTGAATCAGTCTTTCTTCAATGTAATTTAGACAATATGTTGAAATTGCTATATATGATATTTTTTAAGCCTTCGACATGACTGGTCTCCAGCTTGTTATAAATAAACTGTCATATCACAGGTTCTAAAATACTCTGCCTGGTCGATTTGATTCCATTATCAGGCATCGACATCAAATATGTAAAATTTACTCTTTCTTGGTAAACACCATAACTGTTACAATTAGCGTAATATAAAGTAGTGTCTAAAAACCTTCGCTCTTCTTAGATTTTATCAGTTATGTTGGTCAATGTCTTTGTGTGTATAACTTTTCTGATTATGAGCTGATCAATATTTAAATTGTGCATCAGCATGGAGGTAGCACACTGGTGCTGAAAATGGCAATCGAAGCTCAACAAAGCCATATGTGAATGGATATGCTTCAGCAATACATCAATCGAATTAAGTCTTACCGTGGTTGTTATTAACGTAATGTGCAGTAGTAGACTTAGACACTCCTAAGATTTGTCGTTTACGGAAAGGGTATTAAACAAGACCTCCTAGTCTAAATGTTTCATAGGTTGCATAACTCGTAATCTTTATATCAATGAGTCACGTATTTTGATGTTCACAGATTGTGTCGATAACTGATTGAATAACACAACTTTATTCTGGTTAGTGAGCTCATTACGGATAAATTTATGCTGACAGGATTTACACTTCGCATTCTTCGGACAAATCGTAAGGTGAACTATAATTCCTGATGTTATAAACTCGGGCTTCACCCCTATGAAAAAGGAGACTCAAACTGAATTTGTTCACCTTCTTCACCATTTCTAACAAACTACCTTTACATACAGTCAAGTAATTCATCTACAAAAATTTTCAATTACGACATCTGTATCTTGTTGTAATAAGTGAAACCAACCCACTCTGAACCATCTCTCTATATGAATTACTTTACCTGTAAATTTTCCAGACTGTAGGGTAATCGACCACAATTCATCTGCAAGATATAATTGCTCCCATCATTTGTTCGCTGCATTGATGCATACTGCTCCTGTCAAATGCATTAAGTATTCTAGTAACTGTAAATGAATCTTAATCGGCAAGATACATTATAGAAACACTAAATGTTAACTCATGGTAATTAGAGAATTCACACAGGAAAATCACCAATCTGATGTAACTTCAGATCAACACTATCCATATCAACTCTTACGAACTTTAATTTATATCTAATGTGAATCGTATTTCACTGAGTCTCATAACACACGCATTATGGTAGAAATGACCGACACATTTTCATGGTTATTGCTTTGTTGTTCCATGCTTCCTTCTTATTCTGCTTTATTTTCTCTAGTTCTAGATGATCATAATTAATTCATTATCGTGCAAAAAATGATTTCAAATGAACCGTTGATAAATCAGCACAACATCCACTTACGAGGATATAATTTTCCCGTCGATGCATTTCATTGTTGTAATACATGTCATAATTGTACTCCTTAAACAAGTTTTGAACTAGTCAACTCAAAACAATCTTATATCATATAATTGTTTCTTATATTAAATGTGAGGTGATATAAAGTAGTTCGATTGTTTGACCAGAAATTACTCTTAAGACTTAGTTATCGGGATATATATGAAAATGATGCTTCCCTGTCACACAAGGTTAAACCGGATTTATTCGGTCCACAACTGATGTCTGATCATAAATTGACAAAGTTGACTACGAAGCAATCTGCCTGAATTATTTCACTGAGACGTACAATATTACACACACACATTTTTGAATGTAACGATATTACTCATAATGTGGTGTGATCTACTTATATCCATATAAGTAGTATATGGTGTGGGTCAGACTTAGAATGTATTTTCGCAGAAGACCGATGACGAAAGAACTGAAATGAAGCGCAATCGTTTGGAAAATGCATGAGCAATGGAATAAGAGAAGAAACAGTGAAGATTGAAACAATTGGTTGTTAATTTGCAAATCGACTGTTCATTGTTTGGTTATCAGAATTTACTGAGATAGTCTGTAATCTTTACTTAATACATTCAATTGTCCCCAACTAGTGTTCTATTCACTACAATAATACGTCACCCCATCGCACAAGCAAGTGGCTATCAGGACTCAGTGGCCGAGTGGATAACGCGATGGCGTTTGAAGCGAGGGTACTGGGTTCGAGTCCCAGAGTGAACATCATCTCTGAGATGCAGGTACATCCAGCTGACGAGTGCCAAATAGGACGAAACGCGCGTTAAACTGGATTCCACTGCTAACCACTATCCATATCTGCTAACCAATACATAACTATATTTCACAAATTATTGTTATAATAGTGCGATTTAGTAAGTTCGTTGTGTATTACAAATTGTACAATTTATTACTGTCATTGCTTTTATCTCTCCGTTTTCCTTTTGACATTTGCATTATGTGTGTGTAGTGTTTCATTTTTTATAAACATGACTTCTGAAAATACTGCGTCACGTTAACAACAAACCCTGTCCGTGAAGGCTTTTATTCTTCTTGTTCATTCGTTTTATGTTCACCATCCCGCAGCTTTGGTTTATTGGACTCGAAAATTATTTTCTGGTTAGCCACATTCACGTAAAAAAGAGATGAATTCGGTCATGCATTTGTTCATCTGCTGATTACCCAAGCGAACTAAATTAAGTCTTCAAAACTCGTCAGTGTCCCTTAACGTCGAATTCTAGTGAGGATAAAATTACAGGCAAATTCTGTGAAATATTGATCAGCGTATATTATTTACATTCTTATTGCATGATGTCTCGACAACTAGATTGTGAACATTCGTATCGCTCTTGTTAGAAGCTTCATTTTGACTAACAACTATTATACGATTTACTAATACTAAGTTATTTACAGTTTTCTAAGTACAGTCCCACACATTCATGACCAATTTACGGATTGATGATGTACAAATTTTATTTTCTGTTATATGTTGTGACGTGGTCTGTTTGGCGTGCATGTAAACCAGATATATTTGAAACGAGTGATTTGCATATTGGAAGCTTGTATTATTGTTCCCAGCCTACTCCAGTTTTTATCACAGATAAACACGTTCACATTCACATATTTAAATAGTTACTTGCCTACTGATCCTCAAACAGAAATCCATTCCATGCATTTCTGATTCAGTCAAATTGCGATTTTACTCAAAAGACTTTTTTAATTCGATATTTCTGACTACAATGGTAGAATCCAATCAACACTGATGACTGGATCGACATAAAGTTGATTGTTGCTCAGTAATTTATTAGTGTACTCACATAAACAATCCATTGCCAAAGAATCCTTCTGAAGATAGTAACCACAAATTCCATTGAAATCCATCTTTCAAATTAATTTGCATTAGGCTGAAATTACATTTCGTAATCAATACTGATGGAAATTAAAAATAAACTGTTATTTCAAATGCTAGAAACTAACGTCAAACATCTGTTAGAATGGAAGAATCAACTGAGGAATACGTTACCATATACGGAATATTGATCAGTAGAATAAAAGAATAAATAATGTAAAGCAATTCACTATTGGAACTGATTACATATGTTTCGGAAATATGAACATGACCCTCACAATGAATGTGAGTTATCTGATGATGATTATGATTTTGAAGCACTGAAGTCAGACATTGACATAACTGCACACATGCTTCACCTTCTATTCAAGAAGACTGGGAAAAAGAATATTCTATCAAGATACCATAGAATGGAGATCTGGGCAAATGTGAGAATTCCGGATGCGTGACACTGTTTTCACTATCTAGAAACGTTTTCAATGTAGTGTTGCTGGACACAATGAACGATGCAGTAGATGCCCGACTTTGAGACCAACAGGCTGGATTCCATATGGATTGATCGTACACAGATCAAATTGCGATCGTCGTGGAACAATTAGTTAAGTGGAACTCGTCAATATACAACAACTTCATCGACTATGAGAAATCGTTTGACAGTTCGAACAGGAGAACATTATGGATACATCTTCGACGCGATAGAGATATTGAGAAGATGGTCAACATTATGCAGAACTCATACGACGGAATACACGTTCAGCCAGGAAGTAGAATCAAATATGAAAAAGATGAATAGCAACTGGAAAGAACTGGAAGAACTGCACTGAACAGGGTTGAATGGAGAATGCTAGTGTGTGGCCTATGCTCCCCCACAAAAAATAACGGGCGCAAGCAAGTAAGTATCTTACCAAATCACTTTCGGTGGCATATTTTGCGCATTAAAAGCCAACTGGTTATCGTTTATTGCTGATTCCATAATTCTCTGTATTTTCATAACCATCCTTTCGCGTGCTAAAATTATACATTCAACTCTGTCCATTCACATTCTAGTGTTAACCAGATACACTGATAAAGTTTTCTTATTTCACTAGAATTCCACACGACGGTTTCTTCAATATTATTGACATTCCAGAGTCTAGAAAATTAACAGATAAATTAATTCGGATAGACAGAAGATCTAGAATATGTTTGTTTCGCTAAACACAAGCAGTTACGAATGTCGTAATGTGAAGTTTCTGCATATTGAATCGCTTGGTTGAATGTAAAGGCTAGTTTGTTAAGTATTTTGAAAAAGAGGGAAAAAGGTACGAATTAGTTTGAGTCTCCTCTTCCATGAAGAGTCGAGCCTAAGTTTACTAAACCTAAGTCAAAGCACAATCAAATCCAAGAATACTAAGAGTAAATCGTTTCTGTACTGATTCCAGCCTCAATTTATTCATTATGCGCTCACTACTAGGAATAAACGGGCAGTATTCAAGGAGTGGTCGAACACAAACGTTGTACATTAAAATCGTGATTCATTGGTTCCGAGTTATGTAACCTATAAGGCGTTGAGACTTGGAAGTCTGTTTCATTATCTGTTCTGTAAACGACAAGTCGTAAGAGTACCTAAGATCTAAGTCGACTCCCGTCTGTAATCTATATGACACTTCACCATTTATGGTAAGATCTAAGTTGAGTGATGGATGTATCATGGAAGCATATTCATCCACATTTAGCTGTATTAAGCGCTGACTGCTTTTTTAGCACCACTGTGCTATATTGTCAAGCTCTGTGCTAATGCAATTTTGAATATTGCTCAGCTGATGTGGAGTAAATGAATACACTACTTTAAGACAATCTGGATACAAAAGGGGCTTACCCACACAAAAACGCTCTCAAATATCATTGTTTATAGCTAAAAAGAGAAAAGGACCTAAAACACCTATGAGAAATTGGTGGTTGATCATGTCCAAGGCTTTAGAAATGTCCAGGTATAGCACTAATACTAGATATCCTTGGCTACGAAGAGAATAGACTGAAATCCATGTGGGGTATCATTGATAAATTTTTCAATCAGTAAATAGTTGAATAATCATATGTTATATGAAAATTTCATTCATCTTTATTCGATGTGTGTTGGTGATTTTCAGTCATATGAGTGTAATAATAGATAGTAGCATTCATCATCATTATTATTGAAGATTCATATAATGCCCACTACATAAAAGAAAATAGCATATAGTTTGATTAATTAAGGAAAAAAACTGGTGATAAACTACTACAAAGTAAAATGATTTATTAATTATCAAAAGGGGTTTTGTGGAGATTTAGTATTTATCATAGTTGAAAACGTGAGTCAATCAGTGGTCTATCGGTCAAGGGCTTCGTCCCGAGACTGGTAGATCCTGGGTTCGAATCTCGTGGATGCGCACTGCCGCTGAGGAGTCCCATAATAGGACGAAACGGCCGTCCAGTGTTTCCAGGTTTTCCATGGTGGTCTAGCTTCAATTGACTAATGTTTTCAACTATGATAAAATGATTTATATTTGAACAACATCAAAAACAACGACCGAGGTCAACAGACAGATCACACTATCACATAATGTTTACTATTCTTATCATTATTGTTATATGTAGAAAAATATTCCTTACGTGAAAACGCATATTAGATTGAAAGGATTAAAATAGTAGTTGTAGTGATTATACTTAATATTCAAACACATATTCCTGATTGAATTGTCAAGTAACTATACTCAGTTTGAAGAGTTTTGAGAGGACGGAAGAAGCACGCGTTCTCTTCTGGTTAATTGTGTACTGTTCATCGAAGATAATATGTTCCTTTTGAACAGAATCATCTTCTTAATCACTTTGATTATAGTAATGAGCCGTCAAATTTTTTGTGTAGTCTAATGATGATGAGATGTTGAAGATTTTTGTCCAGTTAGTCGAAATCGAAAAGACGAAATACAAACAAGCAACAACAATCAATCATTGCTAACCATTATGGAACTGATATGACACATCACTATACCGTGTATCACTTCATTCTGCACGATTGTTTGTGCTGATTTGTCAGTTAAATGTGGCATTTGTGATAAGAAGGGGTAGAGTGTGAATTCCAGTGTGTATGCTTGTGCGTGTGTCAATTATATGATAAATAAACAATTGACGTGTCATTGTCCGGATTTCTCAGCATTGTTTCGAATAATTCATTCAAACAGTTGGAACAACCTATAACAATATACGAAATCAGCTAATGAAGAAACGTATAACGAACATCTTAGTATATGCTACAGCACAGACTGAATAATCCTAAGTTCGTTGAGCACTTCAATTACTTCTCTATATAGACAATGTCATTCGATCAATGATAATAACTTATGGATGTAATCATTGAGGTAATACATTTCGAACAATCTGATCACACATATAGTTGATAAGAATATTTCTGATAGCGTCCATTGTTAGTTATGTCCATAACTAACTAATCAAATTGATGCTTAAGCTCCCACCACGTCAATCTGATCTGATATATCTGTAAACTAACCCTGTTGCATGTGACTTACCAATTGAAAGACATTGTTATCCTATTATATTAGTGTGACTCTGTGATGTTTAAATAAATCAATGACTTCTTCGTATCGATGATTGTTGTAATTTTAAATTCTAAATACAATACATTCGTTCGGGCTCATCTGATACTTCTTGATTAAATTGCGTTATTCCTGGGATTACTAATTTATACTACAATTCAAATACTTCTGATCATCATATTGGCGTCGCGACTGAGCCTGTGATGGAACGGTTGTTCTGACTGTAAGCTTTCACATAGACTCTGGGATCGCCAGTATCGCGTTTACAGTTTAATAGTATATCTGTAGGACAAAATAAATCCTACATCCATCTCACCATGATATCCAACTTCAATCAATATTCAACACAAATATTTATTTGATGAACATTCATATATATCTATCCAGAATATTGGGTAACGTTGAGTTAATCTGTCACAGTGATTGATACAGAAAGTGACACAGAATGTGTTATGGACATTATCATCAAGATGAATAATCACGATCTCATAGTCAATAAATATAGGATGTTTTATTTAGTCGAGTCTGAAAGCATCGTGATTGTTAATGATAGTTTCATAGATTGATAAACTGAAAACATGAAATCAAGATAATTCTGTCCGACCAGTATTACTAGAATTGTGGTGTGGTCTACTTATATCCATATAAGTAGTATATGGTGTGGGTCAGACATAGAATGTATTTTGGCAGAAGACCGATGACGAAAGAACTGGAATGAAGCGCAATCGTCTGGAAAATGCATGAGCAATGGAATTAGAGAAGAAACAGTGAAGATTGAAACAATTGGTTGTTAATTTGCAAATTGACTGTTCATTGTATGGTTTTCAGAATTTATTGAGATAGTCTGTAATCTTTGCTTAAATACATTCGATTGTCCCCAACTAGTGTTCTGTTCACAACAGAATCATTTGTTATAAGATGGTAGATGATTTCAGTGTTTACTCATACGTTAATCTAGATCGTCTATGGATTGATGAACAAACTATCTGTTTTCACCTCATTTTGTCTTCAGAAAAGTAGTAGTCATATGTAAAATGAAAATTTCATTCATTTTTGTTTTGTTCGTTTCAAAGATGATCAGTAGCAACAGAGGGCGGCATTTCTCATTATAATGACAACTCATATCACGCTCATTACACAAAAGAAAACACCATATAGTTTGATTAATTAGTTAAAATCTGGTGATAAACAACACAGAAGTACAATAATTGATATTAGAACGACAATAACAACGACCGAAGTCAACGGACAGATCACAATATTACATAAAAGACACTACTCTTATCATTATTTTTACCTTTAAACAAATATTACTTACGTGAATACGCATATTAGATTGAAAGAAGCCAAATAGTTTTTGTGGTGATTATACGTAATGTTCAAACACATATTGGTGACTGAATCGTCAAGTAACTGTACTCAGTGTGAACAGTTTTGAGAGAACGGAAGAAGCATGCGTTCTTTTCTGCTTAATTGTATACTGTTCATCGAGAATAATATGTTACTTTCGAACAGAGTTGTCTTCTTAATCACTTGAAATACACTTATGAATTGTCAAAGGCCTTGTTATGTGTAATGATGTAGAGATGTAGTGAATGACTGTCCAGTTATTCGAAATGGAAAAGAATTTGTGCAAACAATCAACAGAACGAACAACCAAGCTACCCTTGTGGGTCAGGGTAATTTGAAATTAATTTTCAGGAGAATCAGACACCATCCACACTTTCATATGACAATCCAAACAGTACAGTTTAATCTCTTTTAACAGGAGAGTCAGACATCGCCTAGCTCAGGCTTAACCTGAGCAGTGTGGCTCAATCCCGCCGCCCCTAGACAGGAGAACCAGACACTATACACGCTTCAACGCTACAATCTGACCAGCACAGCTCAATCCTGTGGCGAAACCACACAGGTACCAAGCACACTGGTGGACCATTCGCACCATTCGTATATACACTCACATCACATGTATAATTATTTCGATCAGTGATTACGTAAGAACGCTTGAAACCCATTGTCTGGTGTCGGAATAGTAAGATAAGACCACCAAGATCATTTTTATCTCACTTGCGAAATTTTCATGTTTATGACTTTGCAGGAAAAAACGTAATGTAAAATTTCCCTGACCGACAAGGGTATATTATATAACTACAATGTTTAACTGTGATCAACCATAGAATATGAAGTATTTTAAAAGGCATCTGAATCACTTGTCTTGAAACTATTATTTCATTGTTCATAACTGTTGAATGGATTAATATTTTTCAATGTGGTTTCCTTTTTGTTACTTATCTAATGAAGTGCTATTCAGTGATGTATGTACATGTACATGTACATGTATATCGAAATTGAAATTTTACTATTTACACCTGCTCTTACTCGCCATGTTATATAGGGTACTACTGAGTCATAAGTAAATCATCCAATGGTCAGACGGCTGATCGTCGGTTAGTTCATAGATCAGCGCGTTAAGCGAGGACAAATAACTCTCGTTATTCGATCCCATATCATGCATAGGTGCATGCGACGGTGGTTCCGTTTTGTGCATTAATGTGTTCTCTCTGACGTATGCTATAGCCTATTGACAGCATCCATTCCAGTCAGTCACTTGGAATTCTACTCATCCGCTTGTCAAGACGGAATAATCTAAGATAAATGCGTAACGCGTTGTGGGACTTCAAGCTGAAAAGTATATCATGTCATTTCTGTTGAACAGAATAAGCTTTTTGGACTGGAGTCGAATTTATCGATAAGCGTGTTGCGGTACTGAAGTCTGTCTTCTCTTATTACCTTTGAACATATGTTCCTTATATGTTTGCATTGCCTGTATGCGTCGTTATTGTCAGTTCCTTTATATTCGGCCCAACAGTGGCTTTTGAGGCTTCGCAAACGACGAGTGCGGTTCTTGATGATTAGAGGTTGTTTGTAGCTTTTTGGGACCATTTGGAGAACTGAATGCTCAGTAGCACATAAGATCGTGCGCAGTAAGAAATCTAAATAAACATCCACTTCAAGTTGAGGGTGAACATCCCAACCCACCTGTTGTAGATAGTCCTGTAAAGCTAACACATTCAACCGTTTGAAATTCCGGCGCCTGTTGTTAGTGAGATATCTTAGCTCCGTTTTGCTGATAAAGCTGAATGGTAGGACGGCGTGATCACTTCTCCCCAGGGGAGCCAAGATTGAGAGGTCGTCGACTAGGAATTCTCCGTTTGTGAATACCCAGTCTAAGCGCTACGGCGTCTGACTGTTTCCTCAACGAGTTACCGACTTCAGATTTTCGAATCATTCCAGGTCACCGATGAGGCTGAAGAACAGAGCTTCAGTAGAGTTGTCACCTCAAATGTAGGTATGTTCCGCGAAGTTGATTCTAGGAAGATTGAAGTCCCCTAGAATCAGGATATGAGAGAATCCGAGACGCGTAGAGCGGGTTAATCCTCCCAGCAAACCATTGTCATACTCGATGTTGGCAGTGGGTTTCCTGTAAATGACCCCAACTAGACATCTCAAGGAGGCAGACAATCTTACTGAGCACCATACTGACTCATCAAGATTTAGAAACTCTTGGTTGTGAAGCTTGTGCGCCTCCAGGCATGACCGTATGTATAATGCTACCCCAGACAGACTACAAAAATTGGATTCGTCATTACCATTGACCACGGATAACAACTGACACCCAATCCAAACATAGTTATCACTGAACTGTGATTATACTGTGAGATCACGGATTTTCAGGGCCTAATCATTATCTTATTCTGCTACAGTGCCAACTCAAGCATCGGAGACTAATCAACGTGTACGAGCGAGCTAATAGCATTCCCACATGAGCAAACATGCCCCAGTGGTTTCAGAGTTCATCTGTTAGTTTTAGGTCTAGGTCATCACTAGTGCAATTTCTATGCCACCAAAATATCAGCATTGTGGACCTTTCATTCTGCGTTCACCATTGATGAACTCAACCAGTTGTACAACGACTAATGTAAATCGTCCGTTAGTGTATGTTCAGCTTCAAGGATCGTATGGTCAGGAGCTAAATCCGTTACACATCTTCGTTTGCAAGGAACTTTCGACAAAGGTCAGTAGAAAGACTGCTACACTCTGATCAGAACTGACGTTTCACGCACTTGAAATTTCTGTATTGTGACAAAAACGACGTGGAGAACAAACACTTAGGTCCAATAGCCTCGTCGTTTTAGGTAAAAGAAACAGAATTGGACTTCTGAATATCTCAGAAACGAGCCTTTAGATAGTCGTTGAACATCAAAGTCAAACCTAATTAGCCCTGATCAGAAGGAAAGGTTGAGTGGAAATAGACGGTAAATACGGAATATTACACCTTAGTGTTAGATCATATTCTCTCGGAATCAGAATGTGTAAATTCAACACAGACGGCAACATCTGGAGTACCAGCGTTAGTCACTATGAAAGGTACTTTAAAAAAAACCGTGACGGAAAACCAGATTCTAATCGTTTGAGGACAGAGTTTTCCGCCAAAATTAACGGGAAGCGTTCAAACTGATGAGATGTTTTCAGTAGCATCAAATGCAGTCATCCTGGTCACCCCGCTGCTCCTTACGTTTGCCAATAACCTGCCGGAAATTACCAAACAATCGGTTATTGTTCTCTCGGATGACACATTATTGTGAGAAGATATTAGGCACAGAAGCGACTCACAAGAGCTCGAAGAAAAGGCCTAGTGCTGCTGGAAGTGAAAGTGCCAAACAAAAGCTTTAAATTCAGCTCCACAAATATCAAACAATACGCTTCAGGGGGAGAATATGCTGCCTATTTGAACGTGCCCATCACCATCCTAGCTTTCTGGAAGAATGCAATAAGAGTCTTCGGTCGATAAAAAGTCAGAACATAAGCTAAACTTATAGGAAAACTCATAAAAAGCTTACACTGCGCTCAACTCCATTCAAAGGTGAGGAAAGAGAACAATGGCTTTTGCCGAAAGTTGAGTAGAGCTCAAAATTATCAACGGATTTACTGTACATCATCATATAAGTATTGGATTTCGGTTTCGAAAAACTGAAACTGCGCTCTAACCAACTGTGAACGGTACTTCGTTTCCCGTGTGCCGTCCAATTATTTACTTAGAAGTGAGTAGTCTGCATATATTGTTGTTTTGGGACATGTACTCAATCCGATATTAGCGCCGTACGTTTGAAAACTCTGTCTCGATTGCATCGGTTCATTTCACTCATTGTACTTATCGTCGAGTTCTAGACATATGACATCAATTTCTCTAAATTCGTATCAGGCGTTGGTATTCATTTGACTACATTATCACTGTTGTAACAACTGCCGACAGTATCAGTGGTTTTATAAGGTGTGCGGTGTTCTTTTCGTTTTTTTAAAACTGACAGAAATTCTAATTTACTTAAGTTTTCTGTAATTGTGTATCTTTCGTTATCTATTTGTAAATATTATTGATCACAGACATTCGTAACGTTTAATTGCAATTCCATATGTTATCCATAGCTCTGGAAAACAGTGTTAGAACTAAGAAACTCCCCGGACATAAGATGGTGCTGAGGATGAGGATTATTCGTTCTTCCCCTTACTCCTTTGTAACTGTAGACTCTACCAGTAATGTCCTACTTCCTTCATGCAAAAATATCGTTAATAACCAAGGTAAAGATCAAACGTCTGCTGTGTGAAATGGACTGGTAGATATGGTGTTTTTCAGTCAGTTGTTTATCCCTGATTCAAGACCAGTGTTGTATGGAGGGTCTCAAATCTTAAGTAGACTATTAGAGTGTGATCTGTTATTTACTTAGCATTAGAAAGACAACTTATAAAGTTGCATCTTGCACGAGAATAAATCGAAACTACTTAAATGCACAGCCTAATAGGCTTGGGCAAATCAAAATTGATACTTGACACTAGTTAATCAGGTTTACATTAAATAAGCTCTCATTTATGCGCTGTATATTTGATCTATGCATCCGTACTAACACCATTTGGACTCATGAATATCCGGACACGGATGTTCGAACGATTTCCATCGGTTTATAACAAGTAGTGGGTTCAGGTGCATACTCTTTAGTCTTGAATAAGTATTTAACGTTTCGTAAACTCAAGATGTGTACCGCATTAATGAACACTGACTGTCGATTAAATAAATAAACCTACAATTTTGAGCCACTTAGTTCAATACACTTATTATGAATTTGTGTAAAACAATCACTCATAGCTTTTGTAAATTATGAAATAATATAATTTAGTACCTAGTTTCTGGAGACCTTGGTGATTTATTTCTGAGGAAGTTCTTAAACTATTGGAATCCTGGTCATTTCTTTTGTTCTCTGTCTTTTTATAGATTACTAAGTTGGGAACCTAACACTTGAAGTTGGCCAGTTCACAATTGACCTATTACACTACAAACAATATAATGGCGATGGATACATCAAATAAGTCTTTGACATCACTACTGGAGAAGGTATGTGATAGGCTCATCGCAATTATTTACCTCAAATAGATGGTGGCAGCTGATACTGATTACCGGTTTATGGCTATGAATGATCTTATCAACGAATTACAGGTGAACACCCTTCGCTTGGATCTCCAAAGTGAAAAGAGAGTAGGTGACAATCAGTTCTGTTCACATCCTTTCTAGGTTGTTGGACTCATTCTTCGTCTTTTGAGGGATCCTAGTGGTGAAGTTCAAAGTCTTGCAGTAAAATCGTAGGTTTTTATTAACAAATCGTTGATAATATAAAACAGACTAGGTCCTTTAGCGACTAAAGTAAAAGAACAGCAGATTATTACCATTGTCAAAGATCTTGTTGGAACTATGGAAAAAGGAGGCGAAGGGCAGCTTCGCAGCATTTGTAGTATTGGTAGGTTTCTGTGCATATTTACCATACCATGGATGATACTTCAACCAGTGTTCTATGTTACTTTGAATATTGATTGGTGTAGCTAACTTCACTCAAGAAAATGGTTATTTTACCCTTATTTCTTTGTATTAGATTGTTAAGAAATTTCCTCCAGTTCTCTGCGTTAAATTAGCTAATTTTATTAAAGTTATATCACAGTTCATCTGTATTACATGATTTCTACCACTCTGTAAAATTCCGACAAATTATCAGTTTATATGTTATAGACATTTTTCTTAATCAGCTGTTAGTAACAGGCCAAAACCGCGAGAAAATTGACTCGTATAATGTGCCTAGAACAAAACTAGAGTATATCATTTATTTACTTTCTGGTTGAATCATGTATGGCGCATATATATTTGGTGCCTCCTCTTACCAATGTTTAGGTGTTTAAATAAATAAATAAAACTAGTAGTAAAATAACGTGCATAATGTAGTCACAATTTGTGAGGGCGCGAATTGAAGCGAGAGTGTACTTCTTTTCAGTTCTGGCTACCATCGTTTTCTACGAAAGATTGCTAACATTCAGTGCCAACACTATGTCAGTAATGCGGAGGTACGTCAATATGTGTTCGGGTACAGTGACGATAATCTAATTGGTGTCACCATCTTAGACCACCGACTTTCGTGGGTTGGATATGTACTGCGAATGTCGTCCTAGCAGATCCCACATCGTGCATTATTTCCGGACGTTGAGATTAGTTTGGAGAAGTGGTCACTATATGACATAGTGTTGTCATGGTATAAAGGGAAGCTGTACAAGACTGGATTTTGTTGATCCTTCATCGGTACCTGGTTGGAGTCCTAGAGATGGTGTAACACTAGCTTTAGATGTTACTAGACATTTCTCGGAATAGAATCCAGTCGGGGTCCTGTTGTAACTATTTTTACTTTCTTCATACAAGTGAAAATAATTTCTCTTACTGAAGGATTCCATTCTGATTGTTTTTTTTCTTAACTGAATCGTTCCTTATTATTACTACTCACTTTCATACACTAATTTATTTTCTTTTCATTATTATTATGCTCACCTTGCTTTTTTTCTTCCCCACTGCCACTTTTTGTATGACGCATATATACTTTGGTATCTCATTGTACTAATGTATTTGGTTGACTTAATAAATATGATTCACTCATGGTCTGAATAAGTCAGTGGTAAAGTTTCATATTGTATGTTTGAAAAAACTACCGACGTATAAAAGGTTATGGACGCGCCCTGATAAAGCATCAAATAACTTAATAATTAAACACTAGAGTGTGTCTCCGTGTCTTGTTTTCCTAAGTACCCAACTTTTAACCATCGGTTCACAGGATTTAAGCCCCATTGAACTAACCAAGGTTTAAGTAGTCAGACAGTATAATTAGCCCTCACACTAGTCGCTCCTGACACACATCCACATGAAATTGCTAAGCTAGCAGGTCGAGTTGCTCCATGTAACACAAAGCACAGTAGTGTGTCAGACTGAGCTACTAAGCTTTGTGTCTGAATACAAACATTATTCCTTCAGTCAGTGATCAAATTATTATATTCCTTGCGGTTTACTATTGAGTTCATTTCTGTTACATTTTCTTATTCCAATAGTACTTTACTACAAAGTAATTCCGATCAGTCATATTAAACATACAGCCTGTCAAAAAATATGCATTAGCCCAAGTTACTATAGAACCTTACCACAACGAGATGAAATTAACATTCAATAACGAATGGATCAAAATAGTTTTAGTTCCAGTGATAATGAGAAATGTCGGTCCAGAACGTTTCTTATGACTGACTGTATGGATCCTCAACTAATCAGGTAGAACAAGGGATTTTCAATCCATTGTCTCACAAAACCAGACTCACTTCATCTTTTTAGATCTTGGCAGTCAAGTGATGTCTGTAGCACCCGTATATTAGGAACAGTTTATAATCAAAATGTTATGTCCCCATAAGAATAGTGAAAGGTAATTTTCGGGATCCGTTTATGGACCAGTACTACGCGTATATTTTTATTGTATAATCGTCAAATAACTGAACTGTTATTATACGATTTACCATTCTTGGGTTATGCCCTGTCTATCGATTACTGTCTCGTTCACAGCCACATTTGGCTAAATCTTGTAAAAATATTGTTTTTCTATTTTATGGTACGGTGTGGTCTGTCTGTCTGGTATATAAACCCAGTATGTTTGAAATAAATGATTCATACCTCAGAGGCTGAGATTGATTTATGAACTTAACTGGCTGAGCTAGGCAGAAAGAAGGACCGACAAGTACTCTAGACTGTTCGCACGGGTTTTATGCGTAATTGGTCCGATCGATAAGTCACTGCTCTCTAATTGACAGTATTATCACGTTATACATTAACAGCATTCAAGCGGCATAATCTATAACACACAACATAAACACACGGACTTTCTGAAATTCTCTTTGTATTTTATATTGGAGAATATAATATCAACGTTTAGACTGCTTAGTTTAAGGTTCATATTTATTTTACCTATGGTTGTTGTATCACTTCATGAACTATAGTTTGAATAATTCAGGTAACATCACTAACCATCATACAAAAAGTGTAACTAAAAGTGGAGTACACAAATCTGTACTTGATGAGCAAAATCATTTTTCGACAATTAGAACATATTACTGCCTCTTGTTTATTAATTTCCTTGTCATTTATCTAATTTTACCTGACAAAAAATGCCGACCCCCTTTTTATTCGTTAATTTGTCTCCACTATATTCACAGGTCTCAAAACCGTTGTCAATGCTTTACCGAATGCAACGGATATGGTAGTCGTTCAATCAGCTGTTCGTGAAGCTATCTCTCCTTTATTACATATGGTTATGTCACATCAAGATGATAATGTACGCGTTGAAGCTTGTGAAGTTTTAGCTGAAATTATTAATCAGTATGTGATTTATTGATTTATTGCAGATTATGATTTTATTTTTCGTTCTATTTTACTACCCGTATCTGTCTGTTATATATTTTTAATCATGTAACATTGATTAGGTATATTACTCTGTAATTAACAAACAATATAACCGTTAATTATTGTTACATACTGTTAATGTTAAATGAGCGAACTTTAAATTTCAGGTAAATTTGTGAACGTGTTGAATTTTCATGATTTAAGTCACTATCATCATTAAAAACCTGAAAGCACTAGACGGCCTGAGAAGCACACATCCACCACCCGTAAACCAAAAATCGAACCCACAACCTTTGGTCTCATATATGGACGCTTAATATCTCAGACCACTAAGCCGGTATTTTGTAGTGCACATCTTCAATCAATTAATGATATTGTCCAGCCTACATTGCCTTCGGTGGATCACTGTAACACACCCAACAAGGTTGAACTCCGCTTGTCACAATTATTTTGTCTTAACAATTGAAGATCAGAGTCTACTAGACAGAAAACTGTTAATTACCCCCATAATCTAAAAACAAAAAATGCTCTGTGGCATTCTGAATTTAGGATTGGGTTCTATCCGATACTTAATCTGCTAAGCCTTAACAAATGTAGATTAGACGCTCGTAGTTCGTAATATGTCTTTACAGATATGTTCACTGTTTTGCACAGGTTTTATTCGTTCCATAATTTGCCTTGACCGTGTATTCCTTTGTTATTTTTAGTTTTGGAAATCTTCTGACAAGTTATCACTTGGACTTACTTGATTGCATGATCACTTGCCTTGGCTGTCCACAAACAACTCTACGTAAACGTGCTATTCAAGCATTGGGTTATCTGTCATGGATTATACCACAAAAATATTTCAGTTCACTTGTTAGCTTCCTTCTTTTCCGTTTACAAATGAGTCCTTTTTTAACATCTAAACCAATGGAGAAATTTGACGATCATTTGTCAAAATTGATTACTGAGAATACATTGTTTCAACGACCACATTTATTGGAACAACTAAAACAAGTACCTTCTGTAGATGTTATGAAAACCTTACTTCAATGCTTCAATGTTGTTTCGTAAGTGTTTCAGTTCCTTTTAAGACCTACTTTCTGGATTACTAATAAATTAAATATGTATTATATCCAATACACTACTGTTAGCGTGTACAGCATACTCTGTACAATAAATCTTATGTAAATTGTTGACGAAATAGATATTATGAAATAGAATGGTTTGGGATGTAATATCAGGTTTCAGGTAAGAATAACACCACTAGGTCAGACTAACTTAAAGAATCACCACTTCACTCTTTTTTTGTGATTCAATGAATCCCCAAGCATGTCACTAACATGTTAAATCGCTGTCAAGTTAGATGGAAATAATCACTTCGATTAATCCATTGTGTATGTTGTTTTATAAACTATCCTTCTTCAACTTCATTCATGTTATCGCTTGAGAATTTTAAATAACTGACTAGGGTAACAAAAATATCCAAGGACAATGTTAATTCATTTCAATGAGCAACACTCTGACAGAAATATCGGTAGCCAATCAGCTGAACTAACTACGAAGAAGGTATTAAAATTTGTTTATTTTCATTAAGTCATGAAATAAAATATTTAGCATTCATTATTTAAGAAGCTGGTAATACTCGGATGTTGTATTTGTTGGTATTCATCTGCCATAGATGTACACGGCGAGTCCACCTAGGAGATTTGGAAAACCCTCATTCCAAACCAATGGTGCACATGGGCTGGCTCCAGTATCCTGAGGCAACAAATGGGGTATGAATCAATTGTTGTTCACAAGCTACCATGGGACTGCATCTTCTCACGATGCCCCACTGCCTTGTGGATCAGATCTTTCGGTTAAAGGCTCCGGGTGTGGGCCCCTAAGAAAACCACTTGCTTCAGTTTGGGCACCTGGGCAGTATCACAGCCATCACACAAATCGAATGAGATTTGTGCGGCACATGTGTATCTGGTGCTTCCTTGTACTAATATCTGTGTTTAAATAAATAAATGGTATTCATCTGCGTGTTTAATTAACACGTGATTCTTTCAAGGTTCACACTCTCACCTGTCACCAATCAAAATAGTCACTTTTAAACTCTGTCATATAGGCGAACAATAAATTGATTTCTGTAGACTGTTTGTAACTTGGTTAACAAATCTGATTATATTACTCAATAACTTGTTTTTTGAAAAGAAAAATGAAATTCATATGAACCACTGACTGATTCGCAGTTACGTCGTCTTGCTTATTTACTTATCAATTTCTACCGATTCGCTGTCTCTTGCACGATTCAGAATAACAGTAAATGATTTTAGTGCCGTGTTCTCTATTTGACCTATCGGTAGTTTCTTACTTTCTACTAATTTTTCAGCCAATCACAAAGTAGACATGTTCAACATTTATCTATTTAAACACGTAAATATTGGTACAATGGAGCACCAGATACACATGTGCCGCACAAATCTCATTCGATTTGTGTGATGGCTGTGATGCTGCCCAGGTTCCCAAACTGAAGCAAGTGGTTTTCTTAGGGGCCCACACCCGGAGCCTTTAGCCGAAAGATCTGATCCACAAGGCAGTGGGGCATCGTGAGAAGATGCAGTCCCATGGTAGCTTGTGAACAACAATTGATTCATACCCCATTTGTTGCCTCAGGATACTGGAGCCAGCCCATGTGCACCATTGGTTTGGAATGAGGGTTTTCCAACTCTCCTAGGTAGACTTTCCGTGTCCACCAACCCGGTTAAAGCGCCGAACATTCGCTTTTCGTCCTCTCAATTTCGTAAACAACACTGTCACGAGAAGTCAGTGAGTAGGACTTCCGCGGCAGAGGTTATATATTCACTGGGCATGTGAGAGCATTTGGAGAGTGAGAGCGGACTCTCTCCACTCTCGATCGTACCAGGGCATTTGGGGGCATTTACAGTCCTAAACATCAATGAAAAGATACAAATAAACAGTACAATATGAATTCAAACATGCTTTTGTTCATTTGTTTATGTAGTAAAACCAATTTGTCCCTTCTTTTCTAGCTAAAAGCAACAGTGAATTCTCATTTTAACCTATTTTTTTCTGTCTTGTTTTGATTTCTATTAATATTTTCTATTTGTTTATTGATGATATTTCACTGACAGTCGTCAACTTCAACGTTCACCTCATTGTATTGCATCAGTACTCCGACTACTTATATCGATTGCATACAGTTCAAATACAAATAATCCAGAACAGGATGATATTGTAGAGTTAGTTATTCAAGTATTGGAAACAATAATTCGACGTTGTCCTAGAGCGATTTCCCCTTCTCTTCCTGAAGTAGGTTTCTCAAATGTTTGTGTTAATGTGTGTGTTGACATATTTCCCCCCCTTCATTTAAATGACGTAAATTGTTGGCAACCATTTTTTCAAAACTTAAGATGAGTAATATGATAAGCAAGAATTAAGCCTTACAGCCTGGGCTCAATTCATTGTACAGTGACTAGCGAACCATGAAATTGATCTCATTCGATCCTTTGTGGTATCCAATTATGCTTATTTTTCTGGTAATAAGTTTTATATAACCACGTTTTTCTATTGGATAAAAAGCTTGAACAGATCCGGAAAAAAATGGGATGATGTAATCAAGTAGGAGTTATGTTTTCAGCTGACTGTTTCAATTTCTTTGGTTATGAAAAAATGGGGTTTTGGCAAAACATTAATTTGTGGACGAACCAATGAAATTAACGATAGCAAGTGTAAGATTTCGGTGCGAAATTCATTCATTTATATGGTTAAATAACATTTAGGCATTATAACTGATGCTAGTTTATAATGAAAACACTAATTCCTAACCCTAAATTCTAACCCGACCTTCGGTCAGGTTAACGAACACACTATTGAATACAAAATGATTGAACAACGCACCAAAGATCCATTTAAGTCAAAAGACCATCTCGGTTACTCGGATATACTTGCATATGAATATATTCACAGTTTAAATCACGAACTTACCTTAGCTAAACCTTTATTGAGAACCTAATAGCACTGAAAGAGCAACTCCTCAACAGAATGTGTATCTACGTTTCCACATCCGAAAATCAAACCCAGAACCTTCGACCTCGCGTGCGAACACTTAACCTTCAGATCATTGCACCGGGATCCAGTAGTGTTAATGTCTAACTTCAATCAATCCGTGATCTCAGGCAACCCTTGATCCATCGCTTGCGTTGGATAACTGTCTCAAATCCAACACGGTTGAACTGCACTGGTTACTGCTTCTCATTAGAACGCCAGGAGTTACATAGTGAAGCTAGTCACTATTCAGCATATGATTGTTACTAGTATGGGGGATTGATGGAGATGGTATTATTTTCACAGTTCGCGATTTCCACTATAAAAATACTGCAACCTCCACAAATCCCCCATACTCATATAAGTAGATGTAAATAATAAATGGTTCTTCGATAAGTTATTATTAGCTAAGGTTAAGCTTTAATTAAAGTTGGTAAGACAACAACAGCATATTACAAAAGTCAGATTTAAGATATAAGAAGTTCAAAATGACTATCCAAGTAAAATGTGTTTTCAGCGATTAGAGAATATCCAATTTGTTGATAATTCATTTAACCAGTAAAGTTCAGGGAAAAAGAGGGATAAATACTGATTACTAGTGAGTAATATAGTTATTAAACATGAATTACACAACTGATCCTGGTTGATTTGATATTTAGTCCTCTGGTGATTGTCCCTGTATCGTCATTCTCTTTAAAATTGTTTGCGTAGGAAGAGAGGAGCAAAAAATGTACACCCTCTGATGATTATGATTCATTTAAGTCCTTTATATTCATTGAGTAGGGGCTCAGTGGTTGGGGCATTCGACTTTCAACCTTTAAGTTATAAGTTCAAACTCCCCCCCTCTTACATCGGTTTAGGCATCCGAGAAGTACAGAATGGCTTTAAGCCAAGTATACAAATTTGCACCTTGTCAATAAGTGTTATCATGGAATTTTTGTGCACAACCGTTATTTCTTAGACAGACTGAAAAAATACTGTTTTGTTTGTTGGGAAAATTATAGTTTTCTTCGATAACAAAAGAATAACTTAATCAAAGTAAATAGGTAATTGAAAAGAGCTAACGAGGTATGGCAACTTGGACCGATATATAAATGTGCCTAGTCCTACGTTGTAGCTGACTGACTGACTGACTGACTGAAGTGAGCAAGAAAAATGATAAGGAAATCAATTAAGCAAACTCGTTATTCATCACTTGCTTTTCTTGTCATATCGACAATGTTGGAATATTGGATCTTGAATGTTAAGAAGGAATTGTTGTTCAACATAGTTTCTCATGATAAGCTACTTAGTTTTGGGTTTTTATCCCTTCAGCATAAGTTTTCGTTCAATTAGCTTTTGTATTGAGGATTTTTACCTGTTACTTATCTTTGATTCTCTCCTCGCTTTCTATTAAATTAGCTGATTAATTTACTATGTGAACGCTTGCAATACGATCCAAATTATGATTATGGTCTTGTCGAAGATGGAGATGATCAGTAGGTTTTTTTTACATGCATTTTTATTTCTCACTCATTGTAACCTAAAGGATGGTGTTAGTTGCTTTTTAAAATGTTAGTGGATAATTTGAAACTCACTTATTACTAATTCTATTTCATTTAACATAAAACCTAGTACGACTGAGCATTTACTCTAAAATTCTCGTGCAGGCTGGAATACTGCACCGGAGGCCACTTCGTGAGTCTAGTCCTTAAGACAGTGAAGCAACGTTAAGTGATACTGTTTCATGGTTGCTAGTGACCGTGAACAGGTTCATACACTATCCGTTTCCTCATGATTCTGGAGACCATTTACATCACTGATTTGTAATCAGGGTTTTCTAATTCCTTAAGGTAGATGCTCCGTTTCCACAGGTCTAGTTTGAAGAACTGGACGTTCTCACTTCGTCCTCTTAATTTAGTAAACAACATCCCTGTTGTGTAAATGTAGTATGTGGGACTTCTCTGTTCAAGACACTGAATACAGCGAAAAGTGGACTCCGCACTCGAGCGTATCAGGGCATTTAGAATCCTTTTTCTCTAGAATATCATTATTCTCTCTGAATGAGGACTAAAATTTGTCTTTATACGAAAAATCATCATAGCTAAAACACAATAAATGGTTTTGTAGGAAGATTACGATCTCTAACAATGACTTCTCTCACTAAGAAGAGGCATATCTTTGCACTGCTGCTGAATGGACCATTCACAGTTTAACTGTTGAAACTCGATCAAAACAGGGAAAGAAACCACCATTTTACTTAAAACTAGTTTGTATAAATTCTCCTATTTTTTCTTACAGTCATTTGAATCTCTTGTACCATTCAGGCGGTGTAACCATGTACTTTAGATCATCTGATTGAGTCGCGAATGTACAATCTTAAGAAAGTTATACATTACGATGATACAGCTCTTTATTGTTTTCTAGTCTTCAGTGGTTATCTAGCTTAGCTGCAAAATTCGAACGATACTGTTACGTCTGCCCGTTTGTGAACGTTATGTTTGCTTCCCTAAGCTAGTTTCGGATCCCCGAGCTAGAACTATACAGCAAGTTGAAGACCAGAGAGAAGACACGAGTATCAGAGAAACACTTTACTACAAGGTTCATTTATGTACAGAAAAACGGGTTTTATAGTAATTAAAAGACTTTGAGATTCCATAGTAGCAGCATGTTAAACAGCCAATCAGGACCTCGTTATTTTAGTAGCATAGCTTCTAACTAATCGCTGATTGGTTGGGCTCTTTATGAGCCTCTGGAGGCTGTGATAGAGTTTACTGTAAGCCGACTTAACAGATACATCTCACCCCTGATAGTTAACGCCTAACTTCAAACTTTAATGTAGACCTTCTATAGGTTATCTTCAACGGAATAAACGAAACGGCAAAAATGTCCATTGTATAAATCCTCTTTATTCTTTAATAAATAATTTAGTCTTTCCCTATATATATCCAATGATTACCTATGTTTCCTTCCAATTGAACTCTCTCACTAGAATGGGCGTCAATAATAATGATGTCGATTTTGATGATGATAATGCTGATGTTGATGATGATGATGACGATGAAGATGGTGAATATTCTGATGATGAAGATGTATCATGGAAAGTTAGACGTGCTGCAGCGCGTGCTTTAGAGGCAATTATCTTAGTTTTCACTGAAATGACTGCTAACTTCTATATATCTATTGCTCCTTTGTTGATCAAACAATTCAATGGTTAGTTTCAATATATACCTTTGTTTATTTCATGATATAGGGTTTTTGTCATCAACTGAAATTAGCCATAATGCAAAATGGTTAAGATTAACAATTAAGAGCTATGATGGAGTTCTGAGATGGGTTTATAAATGAGGGTTGGGATTGTAGTTAAAAGTAAGGATTAGAGTGGGAGAATATTATCTAAACTCACGAAACGCTCTTGACTACTCATTGAATCGTATCAAGTACTTTAATACATAATCTACCTTAGAAGTTGATATGTTTTGTAATTTAGCTCAGGCACCATCTTAACTTCACTTTTTGATTGCATAATAGATATTTTTGTTGATTTCAAGCATTTTGAGGACCAAATATTGCCAATATAGACATATATATATTCAACTGCCGCCTATCTCAATGCGCTATGTTGACTGATGTAGAAGTAAAAAAACACTGCCAGGAACGGGAAAATCAAAATGAGGCATCAATCTATGATATCACTAACTGTTAAACTTAGCTGTAATGGTAGTTGGACGCTACCTGCTAGCGGTTCACACGATGATATTAACCAGTGGTTGAAGATGTTGGATGTCTTCATTCTCTATCTTGAGTTTCAACATTATTCGCCACCTTTCATTTCACGGATTCATTCCTTCTTCTGGGATCATATTCAGCTAAGAAATTTCAATGATTATTTGATAGCCATTTCTTTATTTACCAAAGTTTTCCTAGCATTATTAGCTTCCAAACCGGTATGTTGAATCCACTACTTCAAAGTATAAACGTGTACTTATGAAATATTTTTTCAAAATATCAATTTTTTTTGTAATAAGTAGTGTATTCCCTCCTCCATCCTTTTTTAGAACGGGAAGAATCTGTACGTTTATCTATATTTTCCTGTCTCAGTGCATTGTTACGTCAAACTCGACTGACATCAACTATTCATTTGAATAATACAATTACTAACGGATCTGTTGCTGTCAATCAACAAAGTAGTCCAAGATCTTGTGAAAGTACATTATTTGTATCTGAATCTACTTTGGAGGAGTTAAAACTTCAGTTACAAGATCCAAATAGGTAAAATATGTCTAATTAGTTAAATAGCTTTATTTTCATAGTTGAAATCATTAGTCAATTGAAGGTAGACCACCATGGAAAACCTGGACGGCCGTTTCGTCCTATTGTGGGATTCCTCAGCAGTGCGCATCCACCACGATCGCGCACTCGCGAGATTCGAACCCAGGATCTACCAGTCTCGCGTCAGAGCACTTAACCGATGGACCACTGAGCTGGCATCCGATGGTGTTAATGTCTAACTTCAACCAATCCACGATTTTAAGCAACCATTCACCAATTGTCTTCAGTGAGTTGATATCTCTACAACAAACTTGGTTGAACTCCACTGGTCACTACTTCCCACTAGAACTCAAGGAAATATTTCTTGAAGTCAGTTACTAGTGAGCATATGATTATAGATCAGAAGGGTTTTTGTGGACATTTCATTATTTTCATAGTTGAAATCATTAGTCAATTTATCGTGGATGCACACTGCTGAGGAGTCCCACAATAGGACGAAACGGCCGTCGAATATTGTTCGTTATAGTATTCAGTTACTTGGTTTAGTGTTAGATCAAATCATTCTTATTAATAACCGTAATTCTAATCTGTATTTTCTAAATGTTTTATTCGTTTATTTTGATCTTAATATCTTCAAGGGATTTTTACTCTAAGACCTTGAATTTAATTCTTAATTAATTATTTATGTTCTAGTATGTGACTCAGCTAAGGAAGTTGATGCATAGAAATTTTCTGTATCTCTGTATCTAAGGGGAAGCACAAACCTCTACTTGAAGTTTTTGCTGCTGATGTTTTTCAGAAGAACGATGAAAGCTCACGACCAAACTACCCAGCTCAATTCTATTGACTATAATTACCTACTAACACATGGATTATTATTATTATTATTATTGCACAATCAATTCGAAATTTCTCTGTACCATTTATTATTTCCCTTTATCCACTTTCCTTTCTTGTCAAGTGCTCAATCACGTTTATTATCTTTGTTGCCAACATTGTATCGTGGCATTGAAAAGCAAACATCTCAATCGATAAGCAATAAAATCAAATCTCAAAATGCTAATCGAGTAAGTAAACTACATTTCAAGTGTTATAGTGATCATCCTTGAAATAATTATATGACCATGAAATGTCTTTGTGTTTTTTGAGCTGAGTTAATTTTACTTAAGATGTTTATTTATTTATTTAAACACATAAATATTGACACAAGGAAGCACCAGATACATATGCGCCATACAAATCTCATTTGATTTGTATGAGGGCTGTGATACTGCCTAGGTGCCCGAACTGAAGCAGGTGGTTTTCTTAGGGGACCACACCCGGAGCCTTTGACCTAAAGAACTGATCCACAAGGCAGTGGAGCATCGTGAGGAGATACAGTCTCATGGTAGACGGTGACCAATGATTGATTCATACACCATTTGATCCCTCAGGATACTGGAGCCAGCCCACGTGCAACATTGGTTTGAAATGAGGGTTTTCCAACTCTCCTAGATAGACTTTCCTTATTCCCTTCCACGAGGGGTAATTTATTTATTTAAACACATAAATATTGATAAAAGGAAGCACCAGATACATATGCGCCATACAAATCTGATTCGATTTGCTTGAGGGCTGTGATACTGATCAGGTGCCCAAACTGAAGCAGGTGGTTTTCTTAGGGGACCACACCCGGAGCCTTTGACTGAAAGATCTGATCCACAAGGCAGTGGAGCATCGTGAGAAGATGCAGTTCCATGGTAGCCGGTGACCAACGATTGATTCATTTGTTTCTTCAGGATACTGGAGCCAGCCCATGTTCACCATTGGTTTGGAATGAGGGTTTTCCAACTCCCCTAAGTGGACCCTCCATATCCACCAACCCGGTTAAACGACCGGACATTCGCTTTTCGTCCTCTCACTTTTGTGAACAACACCCCCGCCACGAGAAGGCAGTGAGTAGGACTTGTGTGGCAAAGGCTATATATTTGCTGGCCATGTAAGAGCATTTCGAGAGGGAGAGTGGACTCTCCACACTCTCGGCCGTACCAGGGCATTTGTGGGCACGAGGGGTAATAGGAGTAATTAAGTAAGCACAGTATTAACAGTACAAGATGACCAGTGTTTATGGGTTGTTTTTAGATTTTTATTGCCTACATTACTTACTGATCTTTCTAATTGTTAATTTGATTCATTTCCGCTTTTCTTTAAAAAAAAATAATCTTTTCCCTTTCTTCCCTTCCTGTCCTTATACAAAGGTTTTATCGGTTTATCGACATACTGCGTTTATGTTGAATCGCGATATAGCTTTAGCTTTACCAGGTCAATTAGGCGCTTATTTAAATAACATATTAATGATGATAAAAATTTCATCTGAGTAAGTTTCAGTTGTTGTTATCAATGATTGTTTAATTATATCCTTCTTATGTTAATAGTACTTCACATTGTTCATTTAATCTCTGGTATTGTACTGTATCGACGATATTTTTGTTAGAAACATCGATCCCGATAAGCTTGATCATTGTTGCTGTTACTTTGATGTAGTGATCGAGTGTGAATAATTTTTATGACCTCCTGGTCAAGCCATGTTAGCTAAAACATTTATTCCTTAATTATAAGTAAAAATAGATGATGGCTAGCAGTGTAATCCAGGACGCGCTTTTTGTCCTGTTTGGGACTCATCAGCTGGATGTACCTGCACCCTATAATTGTGACGTAAGACAATATCGAGGCAATCCACACAAGACGCACACATGCCAAATAAGAGACTGATCAATTACAATCCTAAACACTCATGGGAAGATTCAAACAAACAACACAAAAATGAATTTCTTCTTTTAAGTCTTACCAATATTGGATAGTTCGATTGGAAGACGGTAAAACTGAAAGCTGTACACTCAAAATCTGAGGGTTATAGGCTGCTACTCGCAGCGGTGGATATGATGTCTGTAAAGTAGTGTTACCCTCAGACAAATAACATTTATAGCAATGCTACTGTCTTACAGCAGAAGAAAAGAGTTAAAAAAGGTCAACTAAGGTTAAATGTGAAAAATTCGCTAAACAGAGATGATGCATCGAATTAAATCTTATTGTCTAAAATTTTTGATTTGTTAATTATACTGAATGTTTTTTCTCGTTATAGTGTGATATATATTAGATTGATTTTTCACCTGTTATAGTTTTATTGTGCCAATATGCATTGTCAAACTTATTCGATTCTATTTTATGTAAAGTATGAAATTGACTTAACTGTGTGTTGTAGAGTTCTACGTTTCTTAGGTTAGAATGTACGATAATACTTCTTTAATCAATGAGTTCTATATCTCCATAGTTGAAAGCCTTAGTCAATTGAAGCTAGATCACCAGGGAAAACTTGGAAGCACTGGACGGCCGTTTCGTCCTATTATGGGACTCCTCAGCAGTGCGCATCCACGACCTCGTCTCTATATTTGGTTAGAATTAAATTTATCCGTTCAATCAATGCATTGTCATATCGTGTTTTTGCAGCTTTTTATAACCATCATTTATTGTGTTTAATTCTAAGTCCGAATGCTAATCGAACCAATACAGGAATTTCATTATAATATTGACATCTTGATGTGATTGAAGGTTTCCGATAAATACTAAACATTTAAGCTGATCGTCTGTCAATGAAGGTAACTTTCAAGCGTTCTCACTCTTAATTAAAAATATATTCTGACGTACCATAACCATCGATTTCACGCTTAATCATGTTAAAGCACTTATTGATTATTAAATAATGAAGATGATCAATCAGAATTATCCGACAGTTGAGCCACTTACTCTTCGAAACTGATTTTTTTAGGTGATTTCATCAGAAGATAACATGACGTGCATGTTTATTTGTTACTAGATTCTGGACCAACAAGGGAGTTCTTCACATATCATCGTGCTTGCTGAATTCTGTTTTAAATCCATCTTTTCAACGATTGAACTGAGTATTATGAGTACACGCACATTATAAACTATAGTTAAGTTTTGAGAAGGTACTGGTAACTGTATCAGTCGACAGCGATCTACAGAGTTAGAGTTTCATTCAACTATACTTGACGGTCTCATTGTACTTAATATTGTTATAGAACTCTATTTCGCTAAGTTGCCATCGTGAATCTTTGCTTTTCTATCGTCTCATTCTTTATTGTCTAGTATTCTTTGATCACTATTATTGCACTTCATTCGATTTGACATAAATAAAATCAAAAATGGGCTGGAAATGAAATGTATTTCACTAAACCGAAATGACGATTTTCAGTAAGAAAATATTTTATTTCTCGTAGAATTGATGTCTAAAACATTCAATATCTTACCGACTTTTCCGCTAATATTGATTACTTGAAAATGTACCAACCAGTACATTCAACTTTAGATTTCAATGTACTATCGCCACAGTTTTGTCTTGGTAACATACTAGTACATCAAACATTCACGACTTTCACTTTCTAATTGGTTTCTCACCAATATACAAATTATTATCAACGTAGAGGTTGGCAACAATGTGCGTTTGTCCAAATTACCATACCAAACCAATGTGACGGGATTGGAAGTTAACGGAACAGATAGCAAGGGAATCGAAGTAATTTTGGTAGCATTTAGTAGCAGACTCCAAATCGGTCATCTGCATTTACCCTCATCATTAAGTTCAACAGTCAATACTATCATAGACTGATACAACGTGTTTCTTTTGCCTCCCTTAACTTTCTTCCAACTGACTCTTTTACCATCCAACATTACATATCAAGACAGGCCATGGCTGGGTATACTTAATGCATGTCTTAACCAACTTTATCGATGAAAATTTATGAACTCTTCAACGGATTAACCATCTTTTCTTAGTTATCTATGCCTAACCTCAACATAACTTTGATGATATCTTTTATACAAACTTAACGCTATTCATTTGTCTATTTGGGACTCGTCAGCTGGATGTACCTGCATCGCAGAGTGGATGTTCACTCTGGGATTCGAACTCAGTACCTTTCGCTTCAAACACCATCGCGTTATCTACTCAGCTACTGAGTCCTTGGGCAACAGATAATTGTTCTTTTAATATTGAAATTATGTAATATTTTACTCTTTGATGTTATTGTTAATATGGTTATTATATTTTAGTGATCCGAATACAAATCATACTGCAAAAATGGAAATGATTAATGTTCTTGTCCTTTTGTTGAGTACACATCCAGCTAGTTATTTTGAATCAAAACTTGATCTTCTTGTTCAAGTAAGTCGATGTTTTTTTCTTTCTAAAATTAGTACGGATAGTCGCTAGTAGTGGAACTAGTCGTAGAACTTGTCAGCTGGATGTATTTATACCTTATTGTTACTGTTCACATCGAAACTTGAACCCTATACTTTTTTGTTCAAATACCAATATGTCATCCACTAAGCCAGACCTGTTTTATTTCTAAATAATGAAGTTTGGATATATATATATATATATATATATATATATATATATATATATAAAGAGCGTGTTTATACTACGTAAATAAATGTAGAATTTTATTTGCCTGTATAATGGCACCACCGTTCTGATCAAAATATAAACTTACTTACTTTACTTACTTACTTACACCTGTTACCGCTCATGGAGCAGTATAGTCCACCCACCAGTATTCTCCATCCAACTCTAGTGTATTGATATTCGTAGTTGATTACGACAACGTTTTGCAAATAAAAGTACACATCCATGGATAATGAACTAAGTAAATACGATATTTTTCCAGGCGATAGCAGACAATTTTGTAATTATTTGGGTAGGAATATTTATCTATACATTCCAAAGGTTTTCTAGTGAATCCTGCGGATTTATGACAGATTCGACTAGTTTTTATTTGGTCAAATTCATTATGGTATACACTGTGCTTGACCTCCTTTTGTTTCATTATTATTGTCCTCAACCCAGGTGAAATAAGAGCGATTGACTATATATACCGCTTCGTTGGAAAATCACCTGTTGTTATGTCTGATTTATAGTATTGTCAGCTAATTCTCTGCATTCCATCAATGGTGTCATTTTACAACATTGGCGTTTTCTGTTTAGACGATTTTCACATTACTTTAGTAAATAGCATTATTTATGTGAACTTGTAGTGATTAGAAAATTTGGAAAGACAATTAGTTAACACAGAGATAGAGACTTTAACACTTGGGTTGAAATTCTATACATGTGTAAAATAGAGAGTTCAATTGTTATAACTTGTGGCCGAATGAATGCCTTGTTAACGTATGACGTTATAAAACCGCCAATCAGAGAGCAGCGAATTATCGATTGGAATAGTGACACAGGAAAACCGTACGAGCAGTCTAGAGTACGTATCGGTCCTGCTTTCTGCTTAGCCCAGCCAGTTAAGTTCAGAACAGCCTCTGTGGTATGAATACTGGTATTTCAAATATACTGATTTTATATACCAAACAGACTGACCACATCGTACCAATAAAATAGAAAATAACATTTATATTTAATCGTTTTTTTTTGAACCGTCATACTTAATTTTACAAATTTGATATTTATCATGATCATTTTATATCGTTTTGCCGATATGTAACAACTTGAGCGGATGCACGTTTTTACCAGATCCTACATTGATGACGATTGATTCACTGATGGTGGTCATAAAAGTCAAGATAACTAAACTACAAAAGTGTATCAAACTGAACTGATGGATTACATTTTTAATGCATCTTTTTGTATAATTTTATACTGTTCTCTCTCTCTGTATTTCATCAGTTAACAGTACAATCGATCAACAATTCATTTTATCGTGTTGCTCTGGAAGGTCTGGATTTGTTACAGATTCTATGTACAAATTTGAAAAGCTTAGGTAAATTATTCTTTGAATTTAATTATTCTCTTATGTATTTGTAGCCTGTTAGAACAAAGTTGATTATCTGTTTTTTTTGTCGAAATCACGAATCTATCTAAGTCCGACAAATATTGTAGGCCAGGGAGCACTGGACAACCGATTCGTCATAGTATGAGACCTTTCGACTGGAGTGCAAACTTTCAACATCTCTTAACCACTGAGCAGAGATATAACGGTGTACATTTCTAGACATCTATTGTCTTCGATCGCTACCTTCCTCACATACGACACAGTTGAACTTCATTAGCCATGACTTCTCATTGGAACTGTCGAAATTTCCTCGCAAAGCTAAACAGTAACAAGCATGCAATAGGTTTCAGGGCCCCCAAATGCTCTGGTACGGCCGAGGGTGGGGAGGGTTCGTCTTCTCTCTCGAAATGCTTTCACATGATCAAACGTATATAGCCTCTGTCAGGGAAGTCCTACTCACTGCCTTCTTGTGGCATTACTGTTGTTTGCGAAAGTGAGAGGACGAAAAAAGAATGTCCGGCGCTCTAACCGGTTAGGTGGACACGGAATGTTTACCTAGGGGAGTTGGAAAACCCTGATTCCAAACCAATGGTGCACATGGGCTCCAGGATCCTGAGGGAACAAATGGTGTATGAATCAATCGTTGGTCACTGGCTACCATGGAACTGCATCTTCTCACGATGCTCCACTGCCTTGTGGATCAGACCTTTAGGTCAAAGGCTCTGGGTGTGGCCCCCTAAGAAATGCACCTGAGCAGTATCACAGCCCTCAAGCAAATCGAATGAGATTTGTATGGCGCATATGTATCTGGTGCTTCCTTGTACCAATATTTATGTTTTTAAATAAGGAAAATGAAATATAGTCAGATATTTCAAACATGTTATTGTATGCGTTCTAAGTTATAATTGAATTAGGTACTATCAGGAATTAATCTACTGTCACTCTTTGTCATCTGATTGGTTTAAAAAAAGTTTAAGGATCAAAAAACCCTAGAGTCTTTGTTGTTGTGCAGTGACCGCTGTACTATTTGGTAAATAAAAAGTCACCAGTCCTACTTGTAATATAAGCGAACTAATCAATAGTTGGACTAGAAGGAAAACCACTGCTCCTCATTAATAACAACCTGACCACATGGACCCTAATACCAATACAAGAAAACCTGTTCAGTTTTGTTTTATGTCACGTCACAAACCGTGTTCTTTTCGTTTTATTACCTCACACGAATACGATTAGTCTACGGTTTTTGGAAATGAAATCATCTCAAATGAAAATTTCCTTAACTGAAATCTGAGTAGTTTTATTTCTTCGATTGTATTATCGATTGTGTCGCTTTTCACAATTTTGTTTCACTTAATGATGAGCTGATGAGTTTTTACGATTTCTCATTGTGTTTTTTAGGCGGTGAAAAATATGCTCAGGTTTTATTTACTCCACTTTTCAATCAATTAAAAGCTACTGATCGTGATCTTGAACTGAAGGAGAAAGCTATTACAGTGACGTAAGTTTAAAAAATACTTGTAGTGTACATTTACTACATTTCAGGTGGGTTAACATATGTGTTGTGTACCCCTAACCATCTCCTACCTTAATATGAAGTGTTTACTTGTGTAGAATATAGCTAAGAGAAGCCAAACTAAGACGTGATATCAATCGATGAAGTCATTGAGCACTGATCTGACTCGTGTAGTTAGTGGCTGGGTTATAACAGCAATCAGTGGTTAGTGACATGTCTTAGAATCGATCACAGCATTGACCAGGTGCATTACCTCTTTATTTCCCGATATTTTCTGATGTAAGAGTAACGTGGAAGAAAGTTATGAACGTATGAACCAAAATACGGAGTTAGTCTATGAAGCCATCATCAATTGAACTGAGCCATGTTACTAAGTATGGACTACCTGGTTGCGGTCCACATAATTATCGTAAACAATGGTTAGAGACTGTAAATGACATTGTTCAAAATTGTTCGCAATGACTCTTTCGAATTTCTCATAACTTTTGTATTTCACTAATTTATATTTTCTTGAACGGTATCTTTGATGTTTAGTCATTTCATTCACCACTGATACTATTTTCACCTCTACTATTGTATGATTCGACCTGATAGTTTCATCTCTCTGTCCTAACCAGCCATGGAAAATTAAACCGATGTACATATGTACCAGGTTTTACGTTGTGACTGGCTTACTCTCTTTGTCTTCCTCTCAATCATCAGCTCGAGTACTTTTTCCATGTATATCTTTTCTTTCTGTCTTTTTGGATTATATTCTCAGCGTTCAGTTTCTGTCACCATCATTGTCACGATAATTTTTATTCATTTACTATACATCTTGTTAATTTCCAGTCTAGTTGTGCTTGCGTATTCTGGTAACTTAGGCCAGTACATATTTGTATTAGGCTGTGCGTTGATTTTATACCAATTGATTTCATTCACATTATTCCCTGTATATATTGTATATTTGTGATACGTTTTGTAGGTGGAACACTATATTCAGATCCTAAGCTATTCTGATAACCCCAGACTGGAACTACTCAGCGACTTGAACACCAGAGAGAAAACACGAGTATTAAAGAAACACTTTACTGCAAGGTTCATTTTTGTACAGAAAATCATAGGTATTTATAGACGTTAGCGTATGTTAAATCAACATCCTATTTCAGCCAATCCATTAACGACACATTATGCTACCAACCAATAGTAGCACGCCATGTTCCATCGTACTCTGATTGCCTGGGGCTCTTCTTGGGCCTCTGGAGGCTCTGTTGGAGTTCTCCGGAAGCCGACTCAACACCCCCCGATTAAGATTTCTTTCTAGGGTCAACTTGTAGTTTGAAAACTGGGTTGCGTCGTCATCTTCCTTGTCCACGGCTTTTTGTCAATGTTCTTGAGCATTTGTGGCATCGGTGCATCTAAGATTAAATCTAGCGGAAAAATCGGGCGGTCACTTCGATTCTGCATCGTTCTTTTGTCTTTAAGGATTTGATTTGTGTGTCGTATACATGTCCCAAAAGTTCCTCGAACTCTGTACAGAACTCTTCCCAATTTTTGTACAACTTCTCCCGGCTCCCATCGGTTCTTCCCGTTGTAGGATTTAATGTAAACTTTGTCGCCGACATTGAAGTTCCGGATACTTGGATTGTGACTGCGCTCATCAACTAATTTGGATGGCAACATGACATTGAAGACGGTTCGAATACGCCTTCCGAACATGAATTCCACAGGAGACTTGCCGTCTGGAACATTCGGATTCGGAGTGGATCTGTAGGATTATTATATTATGTTATTATATTATACTACCGACCAATAGTAGCACGCCACGTTGGAACTCTAGAATGCTCCATCCTACTCTGATTGGCTGGGGCTCTTTTTGGGCCTCTGGAGGCTCTGTTGGAGTTCTCCGGAAGCCGACTCAACAATTTCCAATGGTACTATCATGTTAATCAGAGATAGATAATGGCTAGTAGTGGAATTTAGGACTCACGTTTTGTCCTACTTCGGGCTTGTCAGCTGGATGCACCTAAGTCCCATAGTTGATATTCACTCTGTAACTAAAGCTGCATCGCGTTATCCACTTAGCTACTAAGTCCAGATAGCCACTAGCTTGTGGAATCCGATGAAGTTTAGTCCATTTTTATGTTGATTGTTTGAATCTACATATTGAATTTTTCCGATTGATCAATTGATTCAATCCTAAACATCATTGAAAATATTCAAACAACTAACATAAACATGAATTAGTACTATTATGGTTGACATTTTCTAAATGAGATGATTATTGTCTTCTAAGTAAGTTCAGTCGATTTTTTTATTGGTCATTAGTTAGTGAATAGAAGCAAGAAGCTCCGAAAAACCTCTTACGCTAATGTAATCACTTATAATGATGAAAATAGACCCTTTATATTATTGTTAGTATTGAGATTTGTGGAATCTATAGTATGTTCACAGTTAAGTTCACTAGTCGATATAAGCTAGACCACCATCGAAAACCTGGAAACTTTTGACGGCTGTTTTGTCTCAGTACAGGACTCCTCAGCAATGTGCATCCACGATCCTGCACATTGGACTCAAACCCAGTACTTTAGGTCTCGCGCGCGACCCGTAAATTCTACTGTAAACATTTATGTTATTGAAGAGTTAAAATTAATTCAGGAAAGATGGTTTCTTCATTTCAATGATACCATTTACTTCTAATGAAGTTGTATTTATTGATAATTCGATGAAGACATTAATCTGTTGAAAAGATGCGAAACAGCAATTACATTGCATTAATATGTTTGAAGATTTCAAATGACATCATTAAATGGTGTAGTAATCTATGTAGGTCAAAGACAATTATCTATGTTATGTCAGTTTCTGGTTATGTCTATGGGAATGCTTTATTGACTTGTGCTTGATACTAGAAAACTCTGAATCTGACGTATTTTAATGAAAATACTGGTGATATGGATCTATTTGACTATTGAATTAAATCAGAATGATACATGTATACACTCAATTTATTTATTGATTTTACCTACATTTAATGACTACCTAACAATTATCACGTTTGATGGACATAAACAGAATTACTATGAAAATTCAAGGTACCAGTTACATACTGAAATGAATCAATATAATGCTGGACAAAGGTTCATACTGAAAATACTACATTAAGTAGTCATTATATTCAGTAAAAACGAAGATTTTAAACATAATTTCATTCTTTCTTACACAGGCCACCCATCAGGATTCTTCTCTGAACTTTGTCCTGGGTAATCCTTTCCAGTTGTTATTCATTCTTTCATTATCCGCTACCATTTCCCAACGCAATGTGTTTCTCCGCCTGTAGCTAGGGTTACTTCCGGTCCCAAGTCTGGGTAAAAGAGAATGGTTGGGCATGGGTTCAGCAACCCCTTCTGGAAGAAAACAACTTAGCTAAAAAACAACAATTTAAACCGTTTAGACTTTGCCGTGGGAGTTGAAGTGTCTTCATTCAGAAGAATTATGACGTCTCGTGGTAAAAGCCGAGATTCTTCAGAAGTCATGAGGCAGATGCCCCATCTAACAACCAAAGCAACAATTAATAAAGATACACGGAGTTTTCAGACAATGCGGGAGGTCGGGAGGGCCAATCAAATATTTGCGGAAATGAGGAGATACAACTTGACGGTTCTCGGAGGGAGTTTCTCTGATGTTGTCAGAAGTAGTACGAAAAGCACTAATAGGATGAGAATCTTATGAATTCAGAATCGTCCAAGCATCCTTCAAAACAATCAAAGACGGAATCACGGTGAATGTTATCCAGTGTTATGCACCGACCAGTGAAACTTATTATATATTAGAAATAGGGTTTACGTGTATATATCTGGTTTTGATTATATCAATTTGCTCGTTTATTTACCTCATACCTCGTTGAGTTTTTTCAAGGAGTCCGTCCAACATTTGGAATTAACACTGTACAATATGGCAAGATAAGCAATAAGTTCGTTTTACAAACTTTTATTCATGAAGTATTTAAATTTGTTTACACACGTTAAAGTATGATCCAATCAAAATCGCTTACTTCATTTGTTGTATATGGATGATTTACACAAAAAGAACATACAGTGAACTGAGTGACAACATGTAGATGTGTTAAAATTAACAGTGATAGTAGGGCAGTAAAATGAAATGATAACAACATTAAAATAGGGCGAGTTTTACACAAATAAATACACTCATCTTCGTACTTCCTTACGCCTGTTACTCCCAATGGAGCATAGGCCGCCAACCAGCGTTCTCCAACCCACTCTGTCCTGGGCCTTCTTTTCTAGTTCTTTCCAGTTCTTGTTCATTCTTCTCATGTCTGTCTCTATTTCTCAGCGTAATGTGTTCTTTGGTCTTCCTCTTCTCCTTTGGCCTTCAGGATTCCATGTGAGGTCTTGTCTTGTAACGCAGTTGGGTAATTTCCTTAAAATGTGTTCTGTCCACTTCCAACACTCATCTTCAGTGATAGAATATTCAAAATATTTATGTAATACAATTAAAACGGTAAAATGGATTAAGTGTGATAAATACACATATATATTTAGAAATATAATATATATTATGACCAAGACATCGTAGGCCAAACGAAAATCGGTTGATGATGATATACGTTACTGAATATTAATAAGTACTATAGTGTAATACACAAAACTAAATGAGCCATATGGCAATGTAATTAAAAATAATGAAAACAATCGACATATATAATTCACATTTAAATGTAGTTTTGGGAGTTTTTGACCGAATATTTCTTTTAAATAGTAGTTAATATTGGTCGACACAATTGTTTATATCATTAAAATGTTTTCGTGTTGTACGGTATCCGATTTCGATATTGATAAACGTACTTCCGAGTCCAATCACCTGCTCAATTGAAACAGAAGCTTTTGTTGGCCAACCGAATCTCGAAGTAACTGTACGCTCAGTCATATATATATATATATATATATATATATATATATATATATATATATAAGCCACGCTTTTCCATCCTTGTGAAATCTAGCTCATTTCATATAAAGGGGAGTCACGTCTCTTGGGAAATTTCATGGGCCTATCATTTGATAGATGTTCGATTTGCTCATCATATCTAATTTTCCTTCTATTGGTCTATTTATTGCTGTCATTTGGTACTGTATACTTGTATTTGTGTTGATGCTGAACACAAGTGATGAAATATATATTGTGCATAACACAATCTATATGTTTCAACAACAAAGATGTTTAAAAAGAGCTTCAATAAAGAATTGAGCGGAGTAGCATAAATTCGTCTTATTTCAACAGGTTCTCCTTTAAAATTAATCTTTTAAAGATTAGCCATGAATATATCTTCTGGAACAGAACCAAATAGTTTGTAAGCAGTTGATGATGATGAGAACCGAACTAAATTAAAAGAATTCTTGTTATTATGCCCATTTGTTTGTTCTTGCTTTCTTCAAGATGATAAAGCGATCCAAGTATACGAAAGCAAAGATATTCATGTATCATCAAATAGTCTGTAGTTTAAATTCATTTAGTATTACTTGTTTGAATGTTCCCATTGATGTTTAGGACTGCAACTCGTCAGTCTCTAATTGGCATATGTGCATACTATGCCTATTGCCTCGATATAGTCTTATTCACAAGCATTATAAGCAAAGATAGATTGTGGCTAGAAGTGGAATCCAGGACGCACGTTTCGTCCTATTTGGGACTTGTAAGCTGGATGTACCTGCAAAGGACTAAACGCACTTTCTGGATTCCACTGCTAGCCACTATCCATCTTTGCTTACAAGTCTTTAGTTTGTTACCAGTAGGTTGATATAGTTTTTTTTTGAAGAAACATTCTCTTATACATGGACCTATTTCTGAAATGATTGAGAAATTATTTACATTAAATTACACATTTATTTCTTTTCCTTGATGGTCTCACTGAATAAAATCATCATTAGTTATCTGTTGTACAGTGATTAAAGTCAAATTTTCTTACAGTTGATGAATTTTTGTAATTGTAGCTACAATTCAGACTATTATATCATTCTCGTAGTTGAGATCATTAGTCAATTGAAGCTAGACGACCACCAAGGGAAACCTGGAAGCACTGGACGGTCGTTTCCTTCTATTACGGGACTCCTCAGCAGTGCTCATAAACGATCCCACACTCGCGAGATTCAATCCCAGGACTTGCCAGTCTCGCGCCAGAGCACTTAACTGATAGACCACTTAGCCGGCATCCCATAGTGTTAATGTCTAAATTCAACTAATTCCTTGATGGTCTAGCTTCAATTGACTCATGCTTTCAACTATTAAAATACTGAAATCTCTGCAAAACCCCTTCTGATCTATTGTTTATATGTCAATGTTTTCTTTTTTAAAATTTTTATTTGTAGCGCAGTATTTCTTTCGCAAATTGGTTACATGGTTGAATCAAATATTAATGATTGTTTAGATTTAATATATCGACGTTTAACAAATGAATTAACTCGATTGGCTGCAGTTCGTGCTATACAAATTATCGCTTCGTATGTTTTATATACTGATTATTATTACTATTACCATTATTGCTATAATAGTGTACAATAAAGAAAGAGTAATTGAAGCATTCCTATCCTTAACTATTACAGTTTGGGTGTCAACTCTGATTCATGTTTTTTGATAATTGACACGAAATCGAATCCGCCAATGAGTAGTAATTCCTTCAAGATTACTAGTACACCCTGTTAACAAGTGTCAAACAACACGAAATCTAGGTAGTGAAATCCAGGACGCACGTTTCGTCCTATTTTTGGACTCATCAGTAAGAGACTGATCAATCGCAGTCCTAGAAATCAATGGGAAGATTCAAACAAATAATACCAAATGAATTCCTTTCAACTGTTTTTTTTCTTTTCTATGATTAAAGTAACAAAGACTGAATTATTTTTAATTTTCAATAAAAATTTACTATACTTACAAGACCAATCTGACTTTAGAAAAGTAACAATATGGGAAAACTAAACAATTGAAATTATGAAATTTCAAAAGTAACTTCCTTATGCCTGTTACTTCCAATGGAACATATTCCGCCGACCAGCATTCTCCAACCCACTCTGTCCTGGGCCTTCCTTTCTAATTTTATCCGACTTAACAGTTCGCGATATTCGAAATCAAAGAATTAATTGTTTAGCTATTCAATTCCCAACTTACAATGCTACATTATAAACCTGATTCTATTTTTAATGTCTAAATCTCAACGCCGTAATAAAAGTTCCTATCTGATGAGTTGAAAAATGTCTTTACTTTAGGTAGATCGTTTCAGTCAGTCAGTCAGTCAGTCAGTCACAACGTAGAACTTCGTACGTACGTACATCAGTTCGAGTTGCCATACCACATTAGCGCAGTGATGCAGTTGTCGATTCAAATCCCATAGTGGTAGAAGTAGTAGGAGTATAATCAGAAATCCAAAAGATTAGGGTTTGAAGAAATTATTGAAGGAGTATAGTACAGTGAAATAAATTTGGAAAGAGAAAAAGGATACGGACATGAAGAATTCAAAAGGTTAGAATTTGGTAGAATACAAAGTGGATACACCTTCGCCATTGCAAACGATTTTGAGCCATGTCATTCAAAGTCTCTAACCATCGGTTGCTGTCATCTCGCGAATCCCAACCAGGTAGTCTACACCTACCAACATGGACCAGTCCACTTGTCAGTGACTTCATTGATTTGTGCCACGTTTTGGTCTGGCCACCCCTAGCTTCCTTCCAACTTACTCCTACGCCATGAAACATTGCACGTTGGGGCAGTCGGTGGTTGGGTATACGTAACACGTGTCCCAGCCATCTCAACTGATGAGGTTTCACTACTTCATCAATCGATTTGCCATCCCTACCTAGTACTCGTTTCCTAACAACTGCATTACTTACCCGGTGGTCCCAGGATATACGAGCAATGCTTCGAAGACACCTATGTTCGAACACTAGTAGCCTACGAATATCCTCTACTCTTATTGGCCATGTTTCACTGCCATAAAATAGGACGGAGCGAACTGCTGCACAGTAAACCCATTCTTTGGTTGCTAGACGGGTACCTCGCCTACGCCATAAATGGCGCAAGTTGGCGAAAGCTAGACGAGCCTTCTGTATCCGTGCTGAGATTTCGTCATATACCAGACCACAAGGGCTGATGAGACTCCCAAGATAAGTGAAGCTGTCAACACGCTCAACTACTTCACTCCCTATCATTAGTTCAGATGTCGCTGCAACCCAAACCATTAAGTAACATTTTGCATTTCGAGGGAGAGAATCGCATTCCGAACATGCCTGCATTGTTGCTTATAGTGGTCAGAAGACTGCATTTTGTCAGCGTCTTCACCGAGTAAAACTATGTCGTCGGCGTATTCTAAGTCAACAAGTGAATCTCCCGGTAAAAGTTCAACTCCTGGAGGCTTAGCTGATGAAAGCGCTATCTCCAAAAGTATGTCAATGACAAAGTTAAACAAGAATGGGGAGAGTGGACAGCCCTGACGAACACCACTTGAGGTAATCAGTTCTGATGACAGTTCGCCATAGGCTCTAACTCGACCAGTTGTGTTCGAGTAGAGAGCCTTTATGAGGTTAACATACTTCTTTGGTACTCCTATCAGTGACAAACATTGCCATAGAACCTCACGATCCACGGAGTCAAATGCCACCTTAAGGTCAAGAAATACTACTATTGTGGGACGTCTGAATGTATGTTCATGTTTTAGGATCTGACGTAGGGTGAATATCTGGTCTACGCAACCACGTCCAGGTCGAAAACCAGCCTGGTTTTCTCTAGTCTGCTCTTCACGAGCTTTGGTTAGGCGACCTAGTATTATTGAAGCTAATATTTTAGACACTATATTAGTCAAACTGATCCCTCTGTGATTGTCACAGGAGAACTTTTGTCCTTACTTATAGACTGGCACAATCAGTGATTGGGACCAGTCAGATGGAATTACGTCCAGTTCCCAGATTCTACCTAAGACCTCAGTCAATCTCACTGCTAGTACTGGACCACCATTCTTAAAAATCTCAGGGGTCAACCTGTCAGGGCCTGCTGCTCTCCCTCGCTTCAGATTTCCTATAGCTTTTTCAACCTCACAGAGGGTTGGAGGACTTACATCAATTTGCCATTCAGGACGACTGAGGATCGTGGGTAATTGAAGTGTGGCTGAAGGCCAGTTGAACTGGTCCCTAAAGTGTTCTGCCCATCGGTCCAATCTCCTGGATTGAGAATGAACGATATGCCCATATTTATCTGAGATAGTTTCACTGATACTTGGGTTCCTAATACCGGTTTCTTTAACGAGTCTGAATAGCTGCCTACTGTTACCTATTGCCGCTGCCTTTTCCATCTCTCTTGCTTTCGCTACCCACCACTGTTCACGATCATTACGTAGGCTTCTTATAAGCCTGCGCTTAAGTTGACTCCGCTCTTCGTTATGTTCAGAGCCAGGTGGGATTAGTTTACGAGCATCTATCAGTGCGGTAGATGCTTCTGAGATCCATTGTTTCTCCCTAACCTTATGGTTTACCTTACTAGCGGATATCACTGCTGATTACACAGCTTTTCGGATGTCATTCCATGCTGCCTCGGGGTGGGCATAACTTACATGGCTGCCTAACTGTTTTTCTAGTTGTTCCTGAAATATATTATTTGCTTGCCTATCATTAAGTAGAACCCTTAGAGGCTTCCCTGCAGTGTCTTTCCTACATCCAGTAAGACGCAGACAGATACATGCTCGCACTAGAGCATGATCTGAATCTAAACATGTGCCCCAGAATGAGCGACAGTCTTCTATCGAGCCCCTCCATCGGTGGCTGATAGCGATGTGATCTAATTGGGTCCAACGTTGGGACAAAATCGGGGGTCGCCATGTCAAAAGATGTTTTTCCTTATGCTTAAAGTTAGTATTTGCAAGAAATAGGCGGTTATCTGAGCATAGCTGCAACAGACGGTCGCCATTATCTGTTCTTTTCGCCATGACACCATAAGATCCACCCAGGTGTCTTTCCCTTTCACTTAGTTTACCTACTTGAGCATTAAAGTCACCTGCTACTATTACTACATCAGAACGCCTAGCTTTTCGGAGAAGGTCAGAAAGTTTCCTGTAAAACTCATCTTTTATATCGTCTGAGCTGCAGTCAGTGGGAGAGTAGGCAGAGACGACGAAGAGGCAACGACGAGTTTCCCAATCTTTCCGGGTCCTTACTGATCCGTTTAGTCGGACAGCGCATAGACGACTGTCTACTGGGATCCAGTCTAAAAGAGCTAGTTCTGCCCTCGGACTTAATGCTATACCTACTCCAGCGAGGCCACGGGAAGCAGCGTCAGGGCTTCCAGATACACGGAGCGTGTATCGAGATGAAACTTTAATTTGATTAGGTGCGGTCAAATGAATGACACTACTCGGATCGTTTGAGTCACTAAAAATCAATAGTATATATAGCATATACTTCAACTATAAACATACTACTGTTTCTTTAATGTATAGTAGCTTTCCTTTTTTTAGCGTAAAACCATTAGTAGGTATGATGATTGTACTGTGTGTGTTTCTTTGTATTTTAGATCACCTTTACAATTAGATTTATCAAAATTTCTAGTAAGTTAATGTATACAACATTTTCTGTAGATTTTATTTTCTATTGTTATACTTACTTTTGTATTTGAATGAAGATGCCTATTTGTATCGAAGTTTATATGAATCTTGGAACTGTCGACGAAACTATTCTTTGTCAATAGGATTGTTTCCCTACTACTGATGTTTCTTGCTACCTTCATCTCCATGAAATCATTGACTACTCGACTGTGTTGTGTAGGTATTTGCAAAATACATAGTTGTAGCCTTCTCAATTATCTTAACCCACGGTTAGATATTTATTTAAACACATAAACATTGGTACATAGGCACACCGAAATATATATGGGCAACAAGAAAGTACTGTTTAAGGCTGTGAAACTACCCGGGCTCCCAAACCGAATCAAGTGACTTTCTTAGGAGGCCACACCAAGAGCCTTTGAGCTAAAAGTCTAATCCGCAAGACAGGGGAGCAACATTAAGAGGTACTGTCTTATGGTAGCCGGTGACCAACGATTGATTCGTACACCATTTTTCACCTAAGAATCCTGGAGCCCATATGCACTGTTAGTGTAGAATCAGGATTTTCTAACTGTAGGGATGTTAGATCCCCAGAACTCACTTGGGAATGATCCTAATTTCGTAATTTTATTCTGAAAATTTGAATTTTTTGTTTTTGCACCTAAAAGCGCTTAGTTGACCTACAGCTTACATTTCCCACTCGGAATTCTTTGACTGTCATTGGTTGACGGATTTTTTTAGTACGCTATTTTGTAGATCTCCCAAGGGTGTTTCTATCATTGTATAAATAAGCTTGATTTGTGTGCTTAGTTACCTCGTATTTCGTGGGTGCTTGTAGAATACATTTTCTATGCTTCATTAAGACTTCTTAATCTAGTTATCAGGGCTGGGGACAACGAATTAGAATTAGCCTATCGTGTCACTGTGTCTTTTAACCTCGTTTCTGTTTACCGAGCAAGGCGAACTCGTTATAACATCTAGCATATCACCAACTCCCCTAAGTATATCCTCCATTGTACCTATCAACTCGGTTTAAACCCCTCATCGGATATTCTCTTTTTGTCCTCTTAACTTTGTAAACAATACCTTGATAAGACAGTGAGTAGAACTATCCTAACAGTGATTATATTCACATGGCCGTGTGAGCATTTCAAGAGATTATTATTATTATTATTATTATTATTTAAGCACATAAATATTGGTACAAGGAAGCACCAGATAAATATGTGCCGCTTAAATCTCATTTGATTTGTGTGAGGGCTGTGATACTGCCCAGGTGCCCAGACTGAAGCAGGATTTCAAGAGATAGTGCTAACTCTCTCCACCCTTGGCCGTATTACAATCATCTTATACATTTTATCGTACAAATTCATGCGTTCTTTAATCATATCATGTTTGTTTAACATTGTCCTACTGCGTTTTACAATTAGACATTAACACCGTTGGATACCGGCCAGCTCAGTGGTCTATCGGTTAAGTGCTCTGGCGCGAAACTGATAGATCCTGGGTTCGAATCGGGATCGTGGATGCGCACTGCTGAGGAGTCTAGTGCTTTCAGGTTTCCGATGGTAGTTTAGTTTCAATAGCCTCATGATCTCAACTCTATAATATTATAAGAACCCTTCTTCTTCTTATTATTATTATTTGTTGTTGTTGTTTTGTGATTGTTCTCATTTTTTTTGTTATAGCCTGGTTCATCTCATGAATTAGGAACATTTTTATCAAAAAATGATCGTAATTTACGTATGATAACACTACGTTGTTTATATACAATTTTATTAAAATATCCAAATAGTTTGGATAATAATTGTATTATGAATATATTAAATTTAATGCCAAAATTATTAATTACTGAACATGATTTACAAACAACACAAGTAAGTGTACTACAGTAAGAATACATATATTCATCGATGATTTCTGATTCATATATCGATATCTGTTGTGTTGTTTTTCTTCTTCTGATGTGTTATGTAATAGCATCTGACTCTCCTATTGGATGGATACTTACCCCTTTAATAAAGAAATGTATACTGCCTCTTAGTGTAATCATATTGTGTAGTCACTAATTTACTTGATTATTTTATTTAAACACATAAATATTGGTACATAAAGGGCACCAGATAGATATGCACCGCACAAATCTTTTTTTTTTTTCGAGGGCTGTGATACTGCTCAGGTGCCCAAACTGTAGCAGGTGGTTTTCTTAGGTGGTCACAACCGGAGCCTTCGACCTAAAGATGTGATCCACAAGACAGTGGAACATCGTGAGGAGATGCAGTCCCATGGTAGCCGGTGACCAACGATTGTTTCCTACGACATTTGTTCCCTCAGGATACTGGAGCCCGTCCACGTGCAGCATAGGTTTGAAATCAGGGTTTTGCAGCTCCCCTAGGTGCACGTGGAGGGTCCACAAACCCTGTTAAAGCGCCTGACATTCTCTTTTCGTCCTTTCAATTTCGTAAACAATAGTAATGACACGAGAAGGTAGTGAGTAGGACTTCCCTGACAGAGGCTATATACGCGTGGTCATGTAAGAGCATTTGGAGAGGGAGAGCGGACTCTCCCCACTCGCGGCCTAACCAGGGCATTTGGGGCATAATATTATATTAAAAGTTGTATACGAAATATTTTGGGAGTTAGGATATTTAAGAGATACATGTCAGCAGACCATGCGTGTAAATTCTAAAAAGTGTAAGAAGTGTGTGTTATGTTTATATGGTTCATATCATTTAATATAAGTGGTTAAATAATAGACATACACACGTGTCTTGCTTTGTCCCCGTTTAAAGTAGTTTAAGTTGTGCTAATGAGGTGTGCAACTTGGACCGACTCATATATATGTCCGGTCGTATGTTGTATCTGACTGACTGATGAAAGTATTTAAAACTTAGATGTGTATGTCCTTTGTGATCTTCAAATGAATACTATACGGCTGCTGCACAGTAAGAATTTGTACCAACCGTGATTACTATTTAATTGGAAATTTCCAGCGTGGTTACTGAATTACTTACAATGAGTAAGCTAGTAAATTTTCTTTTCCGTACTTATTTATGGTTGTGTATATACTCTCTCTGTGATATACTTTCTGTCAATAGAAACTCGGTTGATAATCTCGAATTAAATCAATCTCCATCAGAAATGAGTGTTCCTGATAAAGGTGTCTTGACATTTTACCAACTCTGTTTTCGTGCTAAGAAATCATTTAAGCTAAACAGAATATTTTTTCAAAGCTTCATAATCCACCATATTTCCATAACTGTCTTCCAATGCCATTAACGCTTAACTAATGCACATCTTTTATGGTTCTGCTAAATTGGTAACGGCTTTTCACTTTCGGAATTTCCTCTCAAAATCAGCCAGTGATTGGTATGTAAACTAATAAATATCGGCTCGGTCGTCTAGCTGCATAAGCATTCCCCAAAAGACTTGAAGTTCTCCAATGCCTTTCGTAGAGTGGTCGCTAATGTGTAGTGTTGTGGAGTCTTGTTCTAGGACGAAATAGCCATCCAGTGATTTCTAAATTTTGATGGTTGTTTAATTAAGATTAGTCGATTATATAGACTTTCATTATCAATTCGCTTTTCTGTCTATTGTTTAGGCACAAATACCTATGGATTTTTGTAGTTAAAATAGGTATTTTCAACTTAAGTATGTTGTCCAACCAGTTATATAAACATGCTTCTTTGTCCCATTTGATTGAACTTGTTTGTTTGAGGTATTAACAACATTTTCCTTTCCAAAAATCGATCAATTTTTCAATCTTTTTTTCTCTCGTTTGATCTAGCTCGCTCTTCATCTTACTTCCTTATTCTTGGAATCACCTAATCCTTTAGCTAGTCAAGTTTTTCAAATTGTTATACAAGAACCATTTCTTGAATGTCTCATCCATTTAGCACATTCTCCATTATTACGCGGTCAAGCTTTGGATGGGATGCTTCGTTTAATGCGTGCTTTTGGTCATCTTAAGAAAACAGATGCAAATGGCCGACAACAATTGACGGTAAATTTATTTTAATATTTGTTTTAAAGTGATACTCGGGTATGTTGGCACCATTAAGTAAGGAATACTGGTTGGGTGCAGGTTACTAAGTTAAGACTGCAAGACGGTTGATAGGATCGTAAATTTTTACCGACTAATGTAGTTATGTTGTTCATTATATATCCCCATGTTGATGGATATGAACTTAATGACAGAAATATGCTCCATCATCGTGACTAGTGGTTAGACACATTGTGTCATATACCTCAGGATTGATTGCATTGACAAGAGATGCATTTACTCTCTGTCTTTCATTGGATTCTAAGTTTCAAAAATACATTATACTTGTTATTTTATTAGTTCATTCTTCTGGGATCTAACCCTATCTGCCTAATTTTGTACCTTTCCTACCTTTGATACTATTTGATTTCTGTCACTTCGGCTGATGTACGCTGATGTTATGTGCAGTTTTGAACCTATGTAAATATGTATCAATTTTTACATTCCGTATGTCTGACTGACTGTTGAACATCAGGAACTGTTTACAAGCGTACTTATCAATTTGTGAGACACATCTGTTAAATGACAGTTAATGAATGGAGTAAAGTTGTTCATGTAATAACATGTAATAAACCAGGGTTTTTTAAAAGTTGTATTGGGTATAGTGTGTGTTCGGGCTGTAATGACAGGATAACAGTTGTGAGACTTCTCTATTTCTAGCCTGGCTGTTGATTCGTTCATTTATATTGGCAATAGGACCAGTAGTCTATCTTACGAATTTACACAACGATCAGTAAACAATAACCAACACCTTAACACTTGTTGGTCCTCGAGGTCCTTCTAATCCAGTGACCAATTGGAAAATGGATATAGAAAGACTGTCAGTTCTGTACCACACTCAATTCAGTTATGGGTTAAAACGCATACAATAGTATGCTTGAAACTTCTGACCACACAACAACACTATTGGAGAATTACATTATGTACATAACCTAGTCATAAGTGATACAAAACCATAGTATTAAGGGGATAACTAACTAATGATAAATCCGGATTAACGAGACATCTGACACTATTTCTAAGTCAAACCGAAAGCGTGAAAATATGAGAATATAAAAATATAACTATTGAAGGGTTTACTAATTATTCAATAGAAATAGAAATAATAATCCTTCGGATGATAGTCTCACGAGTTATACTTCCACACTACTCGTTCAATCATATCAGTAGCCTCAACCAATAGGCTACGATCTAACAGTCTACATTTGTAGTGGACGAAAACTTGGTAGGGAAACAAATTTATTGTTTAATGCAAAATAACATGAATAGTTTCTCACTCTATCTGTTCCCCTATGTATGTGCACCAATGGTTTTAGATCAAGGTTTACCAACTCCCTTCGGTGCTCACCGACCCGTTTTAAGCCCTTGCGGGACATTCGTTTGTCGTCTTCTCAATTTCGCTAACAGCACCCCGTCCGCAAGAAGAACGTGAGTAAGACTTCTCTAACAATGGTTATATAAGTGTGACCATTTGAGATGTCTATAAGGAAAGCGGAATCTCTCCAACCTCAAATGTGTCATGGGTTAAAAATAAGGACGCTAAACTATGAACGGAATAGCATACGCGGGAAGTATAGAAATTCTGGTTGCTAAATCTAGAGGGATATCGACTATCATATCTCAGAAATAACATTAAAATTTTGTTCTTGAATGAATATTTTGGCTAAAGTATTTTCTTTCCTCCTGTTTGGTTAATTTTGTTGTTATTTCCTAAACTTTTTTTCTTCATTTATTCATCACACACAGCTCTTCCTATCGCGTTTACTTGCTCCCATTGAAAATAATAATAATAATACTTTGTTTGGTCACAACTCTGCTATAAGCAGTAGTAATAATATTAATAATACTACTTCACCTAATCGAACTTCTGGTGTACATCGAGATGCTTTGCCTAGTTTAGCTCAATGTATAGCTGCTCTATTAGCTGAACTACCAATGACTTCACCAAATTCACCGTCATTATCATCACCTCATTCTGACAGTTTTCTGAGTAGTGTAAACAATGTGGTTGATCAGTTGTTAATATCTGTCAAGGTAATTTATTGTTAGTGTTAATTTTTCCAGTTATTATTGTAATTATAGTTGTTGATGAGCTTCTCAATAATTCATCATTTCTTACTTACTTACTTACGCCTGTTATCCCTCGTGAAGGAGCATAGGTCGGTCACCAGCATTCTCCATCCAACCCTGTCCTGGGCAATCCTTTCCAGTTAACATTCACCATTGGTGGTAATGAAAATATTATTATACTTAGAAATGTATTTGTTTTCGTTTAAGTATGACATAATTGGTCATATATTGTGTCTGTGAAGGTGACAATATTGATGGTGTAGTGAAAAAGAACACAATTGGGTACACCCAAATGTACATGAATACATTATTACAAAATCTCTTAGTAAAATCTCAGAACTATACTGTAATACTTCATTTGCAAATTATCCGTCAATTGTCTCAGACTTTGTTGTTCCCTCGTTTCCATACCGATCATTCTCCGTTCTTGTTCTCTTTTCTCCGATCTTCTGACCTTCTGTCGCCGTTCATTCCATTTTCGATTGATGATACATGCTATATATATCTGTCGACATCAGTAGCACGCAGCACAATAATAATAATATTTTCATAGTTGAAATTATGAGTCAATTGAAGCTAGACCACCATGGAAAACCTGGAAGCACTGGACGGCCGTTTCATCCTATTATGGAACTCTTTAGCAGTGCGCATCCACGATCCTGCACTCGCGAGAAGAAGAAATAATTGCACACTGTGAATACAGTGATGCAATTAAGAAATTTCATTGTTATTCAAGCCTAATACTACTTTATATTTAATTCATATCTGTCCTATATTTATTTATTTATATGTGTTTGCGTTTATCTTCAGGATCCTTCTACATCTCCAACACAATTATATCTGAATTTGCTTATTTTGGGTGAATTAGGTCGTAAAGTGTAAGTTCTAAGTACATACTTATTCTGATTCAATTTGAAATTATTTGAATTATCCCTTTGTTGATATATTTTTTTGATCCGTCTTGATTGACATATTGTTCATCCTGTCCGTATTGCCTCGATGTAGCCATTATAACACAGTTTGATATAAAATGGAGGATCCACCGTGGGGAGTTGGAAAACCCTCATTCCAAACCAACAGTGCACATGGGCTCCAGGATCCTTAGGGAACAAATGACGTATGAACTTATTGTTGGTGAACGACCATCATGGGACTGCATCCCCGAACGTTGCTCCATTGTCTTATGGATTAGACCTTTCGCTCAAAGGCTCGTGGTGTGCCCCCCTAAGAAAGCGACTTGCTTCAGTTTGGGCCCGCGGATGGTATTCAAGTATTCACCCAAATCGAATGGTTTGTGTGGCGCATATATTTTTTGGCGCCTCCTTGTACCAATGTTTATATGTTTCAATGAAAAATGAATAACAGTGGAATCAAGGTTTCAAACTACATTGCGTTATCCACTTAACTACTGTATTCAAATAGTCACTCAATTGTGCAACATCTATGAAATCTAATTTAATTTGAAAGGATTTGAATTATTTCAAACGTCCTATTTTCCACTTTTAGCCATATTTCATCTGTTCTAAATAATTGTGTTATTGCATAACTTGAAGTAGATAATAACACCTTAACTACGTTGACATACATACAAAAAAGAACCTAATTCAAAAATTTTTTCAAAATTTTAACTAATAGAATTCATTTACAAGCAATTCTTTTTATAATAATGAACAATGGAATTAAGAACGTTTATCGTTTCGTCCTATTTGGTTCTCTTTTAACCGCATACAACTATTTCATTTCAATGTTGATATTCACAGAAGGAAAATCTTTCTCGACGTACATTTCACACTAATTGATACTTGTTTTTAAGGTGTACCTTTAGTCTTCTTGGGAACTCGAAGTATCCAAACTCGCATTACCCAGCTTCACAACCTTGAGACATTACCACTAAGCAATCCGCCACACAACTGTTAATTCCTTGATCCATATTCCTATTAATAAACAGGAGAGAATTTGTCTTAACATCTTAACACAATAGGTCTTTTAGTCCAATTTGTGAACGCTAGCAATGCATGAGTTCGATTGTGACTGAACAACCTTAAGGATAGAGTAAAGAAAACTAAATTAATTATTTGGATGCTTTTATATTTTCTAATCATTGATTAATATCATTTAAGTGTTCATATGTGTTGAAATTATTGTTAACTCTTTATGTAATCATTGTTGAAAACCTTATTTAGATTGATGGTAAAATGCTTGAATTGATTGTGTAATTATTTGTGTAATCCTTTTATATATTACTACCATTAAAGTGGCTGCTTCTATGAATTTGGTGTTGATCTTGTTGTGCTAATGAGGTGTGGCAAATTTGACCGATGCGTATATGTGCCTGGTCTCACGTTGTAGATGACTGCCCGACTTCCATATAGTACTATCATGTAAAAGTAGGTCATAGGTTCTACTCTTGCCAGTGTTTTCGATGCGTACTATTGTAGAGTTTCATACCAGAACGAAATAATTATCCAGTACCTCCTGGCTTTCAATGATTATCCGTGATGTAAACCGTGAAATCCAACAATCTCTACAACACATTTACAAAGTTAGTGTCTTGTTTAAAATATTTCCTTTTTCTCGTTTTTATAATGGTAAGTTCTACAATTATCGTTTGTCGTGTAATTTTCTAGTCATAATTCCGTTACATATTTCCTTCTTGTATGTTTGTTCTGTTTTGATCTTCTCTTCTTTTTTCCCTCTAGTGATTTGAGTTCACGTACAGATCTTCGTGATCTATTAATTTCTTGCCTGTCATCAACCAACAATTCACCTTATCATTATCAGCAACCAACACCTTCGAATACTTCAACTGGTTTATCTCATTCCACAATATCATCCAATGGACTCATGGTCAGTGAAGAAGTCAAACCAGCAGCAGCGTTAAGTTTAGGTCGATTGGTCGTTGGTAAACCAGAAATTCTTCTACCACCATTAATTGAAAGCATTTCACAAGCTGTAAAACAACATATGCAACTGACAAACACCTCAGGATCTCTTACTAGCAGCAACAGTGGTGGCAGTGGTAGTAAAAATAACACAAGTCAACATCAATTATATTATTTAATTCAAGCTCTTAGAGAGGTTAGATTTTTCCATAGTTTATCTTAATATTGCTGTGTGATTGTTTGATGAATTATCGCTGTTTTTTTCTAATTTTTTGGATAGTTATTAAATTTTTTTGGTACGAAGACACACCCATCTGATGATGAAACGTACATCCTGGATTCCGTAACCAACCAAAGTCTAAATTCGCTTTTTTTAGTTACTTTATTCAGGAGAAGTAAACATATGGTTACTATCACGGTTTAAATGAATTTTTGTTCTTCACATGTCTTCAACATAAGTCATTTTTATTGATATTATGAACCGATCCAAGTTAGGTAGCTATTTGAAACTTAAAAGCGACTGGTTCATCCTAGTATGGAATTTCTCAGTAATGATGCATCTATTACCTCACAACGGAAAGTCGAACTCTTCGATTTTGCACGCGAACACTGGATCTTTAGACTAATTAACATAGATCTGACAGTTTACAAGCGTAGCTGTTCTAACTGAATTTCTTGAATGAGTTTTTATACGCCCGGGTTCCGAGACCGAAGTATGTTTTTTTTAGGAGGCCACACGCCGAGTTTTTGACCTAAAGGTCTGATCCACAAGGCAGTGGAGCATCGCAAGGAGATGCAGTCCCACGGTAGCCGGTGACCAACGATTGATTCATACGTCGTTTGTTCCCTCAATATGCTGCAGCGCGTGTGCACCATTTGTTTTGAATCAGGGTTTTCCAACTCCCCTAGGTGAAATTTCCGTGTCCACCAACCCGGTTAAAGCGTCAGACATTGGCTTTTCGTCCTCTCAATTGCGTAAACAACACCCTCGCTGAGAGAAGGCAGTGAATAGGACTTCCCTGACAGAAGCTGCATACGCGTGACCATGTAAAAGCATTTCGAGAGAGACCGGACTCTCCTCGTTCTCGGTTGTACCAGGGCATTTGGGGGCACAATTCCACACTACCATTCTTGAATTTTTGAAATACTCTGTATTTATTTATTTTTCTTTTTGTTCAATGTGACTGTTCCGTTTTCTTTTTACATTAATTTTTTTTCCTTAACAGGTTCTTGTTAATCTTGCTGGTCTGGATCCTAATCAATCTTTGAAACATCATCTAGATTCAATGTGGTAAGAGTTGTTCACTAGGCCTTTTAAATATACTTGATCTCGATCATTAAATTCAGACTATAAGCTGCACTTATTCATTTAGAGATCTGCACATTTTGTCCCATTAGAGATACGTGGTATAGTGAGTGATAATAAGAATTGACGATTGTCATAATTAGTGTTTTACCCAACCTACATACAAGCAATTTGTTTTTGTCGATTTCACCTATATATTGTTATATTTACATCAGTCTTCTTGATTAATTGGAACAACTACTGCATTGTTCACTTACTACTAAACAAGTCGATCTTTAAATCCCTTTCGATCAGTTCTATCTTCAGTTATTCAGTGGTATTAAGTACGTTTTATCAACGGAATTCTATCTATTAATGTGTATTGTTCTTTTTTTCTTAATAAATATCGTGTTATAGAGAAATAATTGTATTTCTCTATTTATGGATGGTACGGTATACTGTCCCACCCAAGTTGGTTGCTAAAACCTTTTCTGGGGTGGCCTATGTAGGCACTTCTGTAATAGGTTCCATGTTTTCAAGGCTCATAAAGCCCACCGCATGGATGTGATTTTGTAGAGAACCGCGGTTCAGCAGGTCTTTTGAGCGTATCTCAGTATCGTAAGAAAGGGAAGTAAAAGATTTTCAAAATTTTTATTTATCCTGGTTAGTCTGCTTGCAAACTAGGTAACACATGAATTTTCATTCTAGAATTCCTTGGCATACATACAGGAAAACCTACGCTATACGTTACATCCACATCGATAACACACATGTTTTTATCCTATATCATACATAAAAGCACATTCACCCACTTGGGAGGGTAGATATTCACCACTCCCTTAAAAGAGTATTCGCTACAACAGACTGCCTTCCACACATTACATGCATATCATTCAGCCCATGGCTACGGCCACAGTACTTCCTGGCACACAATTAAGCAGCATCATTCTCTCAGGGTGAGGTTGTTGGTCATATATTTGAACCCCTTCCCACCTGATTCATTTTGAAAAAAGTTTCTTATCACTGCATCTTTACCCATAAAACATGGTTAAAAGCTTAAAATAAATCGGTTAAAATATGTTACGGTTACATGAGTAGGGCTGTTGTTTGCCTAGTATTCTCCACTAAATAACAGTTATGAGTAGTTGTAGCCTTTTCACAAATCTTCTTCGTATATTCATCCTGTATTAGGTCCCTTTTGTTAGCATGTTCTGGTTTATCGGAAGAAGGTACACGAAATCTAGTCTCAGAATGTCTTGGCCGATTAACATTGGTCGATCCTCCGCAACTAGTTAGTCGTCTACGTCAACAGGTAAATTTCATTATTTGTCATTTTATACTTTACTTCAGATTTTGATTGACAGACTTTTGTTTGTTTCTATTATTCAATTGAATAACAATGAATCATTGTCTACAATCACTTTTTTAGACGTATTTGGTTAACTTCAGGCTTTTGTTAATATTATCTTTTGTAGAATCCCCATAATATTCACCTAGACCCTACACATATTTCTGTGAAATATGTGTATTGTACTATAACTACCCATAAGTAGCTAGAGTCTATCCATCCCATTTATTCCGGTTAAACTATTGCAAGCTAATTCTTCTATTATCGGTTGGTTCTTATTTCACTTATTCAGCCATATTAAACCCGTCATTTCTGTTTTATTTATTTATTTTATTTAAACACATAAATATTGGTACAATGAAGCACCAGATACATATGCGCCATACAAATCTCATTCGATTTGTGTGACGGCTGTGATACTGCTCAGGTGCCCGAACTGAAGCAGGTGGTTTTCTTAGGGGTCCACATCCGGATACTTTGACCTAAAGGTCTGATCCACAAGGCAGTGGAGCATCGTAAGGAGATGCAGTCCCATGGTAGCCAGTGTCCAACGATCGATTCATACGACATTTGTTCCCTCAGGATACTGGAGCCAGCCCATGTGCACCATTTGTTTGGAATCAGGGTTTTCCAACTCTCCTAGGTGGACTCGCTGTGTCCACCAACCCGGTTAGAGCGCCTGACATTCGCTTTTCATCCTCTCAATTTCGTAAACAACAGTAGTGTCATGAGAAGGCAGTTAGTAGGACTTCCCTGACAGAGGCTATATGCGCGTGTCCATGTGAGATCATTTCGAGAGGAATAGCTGACTTTCCCTACTCTCGGCCATTCTTAGGGCATTTGGGGGCCGTTTCTGTACCTCTGTACGTTGAGATTCAATTTTCACTTTTGAGTTCATTACCTTGATTATGAGTTTATTATAAACTGAAGTTAATATCTTTATCTGTGAAGTGGTAACTTATTCATTTTTCAACGTGTAATATTTAAGCTGTATCAAAGATTTTCTGGTGCTTTTTCCGTTCACCTAGCTAAGTACATAAATCTCTAACTGTCACGTTTAAAAATTTCACATATAATGTGTCATTGTACTTTAGCCAACAAAAGTGTTTACTACACTTATCTGTGTAATTATTTTCTACGCTTTATTTTATAGCTGAATTCACCTGAGGCCTCATCGTCAGTCTTAATGCGTTCAACATTAGTTACTGCAGTGAAATTCATTCTAATCGTTACTGATTTAGACGCAGGTACAATGACAAAATATACCGGTCGTATGCGTTACGATCTACCAGATGTAACATATTTTATGGTTCCATCTCAGGAAACTCCTATATCATCATCACCTTTGACTAATGACATTGAATTAGCTCTACGAGCTGGTAATCCTCCTGCATTGATAGATTTTCTTGGTCGTCTTGCAGATCCGGAATTATCAGTTCGACGTGCAGCTCTTGTTGCATTGAATACTGTTGCACATCATAGACCTGGTCTAGTACGTCCATTACTCAATATACCTATACAATTGTCTGGTTCATCACAAACATCAACTCTATTAGATTTGTTATGTGCAGAAACAGTTATACGAAAAGAATTGATTCGTGAAGTAGAGATGGGTCCATTCAAGCATCATGAAGACGATGGTTTAGATTTAAGAAAGGTGAGTTTTATTTTTGTCTATCCTTTAAATAAAAATGAATTTCAGATTGTAAATGAACTAATAAAATAATCTTCCATGTGTAAATTCGATCAAGCAATCTTGGCTAATCTGTGTAGAAATTTGAACGAATAGTTTAACACAAAAATCGGAACACCAGATCCTTAAAAAACATCCATTTGAATGATATAAAATGATCTTTTATCTCAATGATCAGCATCCAATTTCTACACCTGACAAATGTGAAATAACGAGTCTATTTGAACTAGACCACCATCAAAAACCGGGAAGCACTGAATGGCCGTTTCGTTTTTGTATCGAATTCCTCAACAGTGCACATCCACAATCCTGCTCACGGAACTAGAACCCACGACCTTCAAATTTTCCAGTGCTTCAGTAATGCAAAATTGCATTGAACTTTATTGTATTGTATAACACCATTTGTTTTTGTTATTCTTACGTAGTTCTGTCTTCAACTCCATCCTTAACACGATAGAATTGTTGTACTAATAATATAATGTTAAACTTTATACATAAATCGACAACTCGAAATATCTTTTATCGCGTCATATGGTAAACCAGTCAGAAGTAGCCTAATGAGAAAGTCAATCGATGGCAATCCAAAGGACCTGTGTTCCTCGTTTGAAGACAATTTGCACTATACTACTTACTCGTTGTGTGTTTTTCTCATTTTTAAACTTGGAATGTCATTTAATTATTACTATCTTATATTTTTATGAGTAATCTTCATTATTACTTTTACTCTTACTACGAGTTTTCTGCCTCCGGTCCCCCTTTATCTTCATTTGCTTTTTCCCTCCATAGTGTGCATTTGAATGCATGTCTACACTATTAGAGACATGTTTAGATAAACTTGCAATACCGAATTTTTTGGAATCATTAATTGACGGTCTACGTGATCATACTGATATCAAATTATTATCATATCAAATACTTCAACGTATTTCAATTATAAAACCAATGGAAATATCTGCCAGTAAGTTGATGAATTTAGTTGTATTTTGTCTGTTTGTTTGTTAAGCATGAGTATAAGGTCGAGAAAATTTTTTGAGCCTCACTGATATCTTGAACCGATCAATGTTAACCCCACTATTGAAAACCTGGAAGCACTGGATGGCCGATTTGTTTTAGTACGGAGCTCCTCACCAGTGCGCGTTGACGACCCTACACTTAAAGATCGAATCCTCGACCTGTTTCACCCACGAACGCTTAACCTATGGACCACGGAGCCGATGTCCAACGTTGTTCATATCTAACCCCAATCAATCTATTATATTGCGCGACCATCTTGAATTAAGTGATGAAACTCGATTGTGGTGTAATCTGATATGATGTAGTGTAGTGTTTTGTGTTTGTTTTATAATTTATTGTGTCAGCAGATTAATACTCTGATGAATACTTTGAACTAGGTTGATTACAGATTCTTTCGCCGTCAATTAGTCTCCCATTACTTCAAAACATAAATCTTTCCAGAAAGATATATTTTATATAAACCTCCCGAAAAATCCGAACTGCGTTGTAAGTTTATTTGGCTACATACTGATTAATTTCAATAATTATTAATTGAAGAGATTCATCCGTATAGCGTTGTGGAGATTGTTAAGTTTCATTGAAATCCTGAACTCACCGTAGACAATAAATGATGGTCCTGGGTTCGATTACCACATGCTGATTTGTGGATGTCCACTGCTGAGGAATCACATACTAGCACAAAAACGACTGTGAGCACATGTGCTTACTAGTGACTAGCTTCAAAAGGGATTCTCGGAGTTCTAGTGAAAAGCGCTGTGATATTGAAGTCGCTTCCCTAATCATGATTCATTCAGTATTATACTCAAGATCGACCATTGTGTTTATCTTAATATTACCATTATTATCGTTGTACTGTTTTTTTTTGTTATCAGATGATGATTGTCTTCAATCTATTTTTCTGTTGATCCCTTTTTTATCATGATTAGAAATGGAAATTTTAGCTGTACCATTAAAAGCGGTTCTTTTATCAAAACCTAAAGATGATTGGGTTAAACAAGAAATGGAAAAAATGCAAGAATTAAATCGAAGTGCTCTTGGATTGATAGTCAGTTTAAGAAATATTGATGATATTGGTATGTTTTGATGAAAATAATCTTTGATCGACATTCTTTTCTTTGATAAACGATTCATTTTTGTATGAATGGTTGTTACCATCAGTCATCAGCTCCTTAACTGATCATCCAGAAAATGTTTGCATATGCTACTCAAACTTGAAATCGAGACCAAATCTGTTATAGTTTGACATTGAGAACTATAAATTCAATACTGAACAACGATAGACTAGTAAAATTTTGGAAATTATAAACACTTTTTCATCAAAAGTGGTTTTGTGGAGATTTCAGTATTTTCATAGTTGAAAGCATGATTCAATTAAAGCTAGACCACCAAGGAAAACCTGGAAGCACTGGACGGCCGTTTCGTCTTAGTTGATGTTTTGTCTAATCGTTCACCGTTATTGATTATCTCTAGTTTATATATTTGATTATATTAGATTTTCATGTGTGTATAGTAGTTTAATCATTATTTGCGTTCTCTAAGCTTAATGGTTTAATCTTTAGGCTTTCATTGTCACTCAGAACAATGATTACCGACAGCTAGTCCAAATCAAGTTCGACAAAACATATGTGGAGTAGTTTGAATAGCTCATGTCTGTTGGAAATTGTCTATATGGGGAAAATAAAAACTTGACGATTAAACTACTTGGGTCTTAAAAAGTCATTTAACATAGATCATCGTCCCAAATTACATATCTTCCCTATCAACTGTAGTTAAATCGTCGTATTTACTTTACAAGGCTATGAAATTATCAAATATCATAATACATTTCGTTAATTGTATTATCCGAAGTCTTCTATATACAAAGAAGCAGTGTCACAGCTGACTGTCGAATAATTCTCACTCCTCAAAATTTGCTCACTTGACTGTACGATAGTTGAAAGTAAAAAGTTAACTAAGAATTTACTAGTAACATTACCTTTTGTATTTTTCATTTACAAAATTAAATTGTCAGTTTAGGCAGCCAGTCATAATGAATGTATGCTCTAGGACAATTATTCATCTCCTTAAGCTTCCAAATTACTTCAACATAGTTTTTTTTTAACTTAACAAATTAGATAGGAAAAAAAACTAAGTAAGCAAAATGATAGTACTAATGAATAGTAAGATTAAACAAATCAGATTATGATTCTTATGTAGCCATTATATTGTGTAATATTCGTCTTTTTTTGTTGGTTTTTGTAGTGGAAAAATACGTTCTAGTTAGGCTAGTCACATATTCTTGATCTGAATCGTGTAGAAGTCTTTTAGAATAGACACTGGAAGAGTATTTATTGTAGATATCCGTCTAAGGTAAAATAACGTCTTATTTGTGTAGACTGAGAGATGGAGCGTTATAACAGTTATACGTTGAGTTAATCATTGGTTGTGGATATACAGCGTATGTTTCAACTACGTTATTTAATAAAGGTTTATAATCCCACGAACTGATTTTTCATCTTTGATATACATTTCAATAAGTTTTATTTGCAGTTTATAGAGTTTATTAATCTAATTATGAATTGACATCTATTTAAAAAATTGTGGGCAGAGATGGATTGTGACTAGCAGTGTAACCCAGGATGCGCATTTCGTTCCATTTGGGTGGGACTCGTCAGCTCGATATACCTGCATCCCAGAGTTGATGTCCATTCCAGGATTCTAATCCAGTACCGTTCATGCTCTGACACGAGACTGTTTGGTCCTGTATTAGAATCTCGTGAGGCGGGATCGTGGATACGCACTACTGATGAGTCGTATAGTAGGACGAAACGGCCATCCAGTGCTTCTAGGTTTTCCATGGTGGTCTAGCTTCAATTGACTCATGATTTCAACTATATAAAAAAGAAAGTCACTGAAATATTAAAACATGTTGTTTATTGTACTTTTGTTTACTTAGATAAAAATCGTCATTATGTAGAATTATTACGTATTATCAATGCAGATAGTAATTTGAAAAATATTTATATGCAAATTTTATCAACTGAAAATTATTCCACTAAGAATAATTTGTCAACAATATCCACAACACCAACAGCAACTATGACAACAGGTGGATTTGGGCGAAATAATTCTTCTTCATGTTCTCTCACTGGTAGTGGTGACATCGGTGGTGGATATATTGGCAATTTCTCATCAACACGTTCATGATTTATTCAATGTCACTATGTTAAATTGGCAATATTTTGTTAGTCATAAATTCACCAACACACCCACCCATATATATATATACACACACACAAGGTCTTTTTTTCCGCTTGTTGTAAACACTTTGAATCCAAGAAAAAAAAACTTACTAAAAATTTTTTTTTGTGTCTTCTCACTTACATCATCTGATGTATATCTTAATTTGTCTAGTTTTTGTACCTCATTCATTCATACATTTGTCCTTAATTATTTCCTTTCAAAATCATCCATCTCAATGTCCAAATGAAATATCTATATGTAACAGTGCCAAATGATTGTGTTTTAATCATTGAATAACAACAATAACCATGGTTAATAAAAAAAAGTGTATTCAATCCTTTATGATGTTTTGTTGTACATGACAACTAATTAATGATAATAATTCAATGAATGATTTAAATTGTTTGATCCTCTATACTCTTTAAGTATCCATATCTCTCTCTGTGTCTATTTATTGATAATGAATACATGTATAACATTTAATAAATGACAAGCATACATTTCAAACTTGATCCATCCCTTATTTGTTTATTCATGTTTGTTTTTTTTCCTAACGATACAATACAATTGCTTGTCAGTTTATTACTAATCTATAGAACAAACATTCTTTTTCTTTCTATCTGTCTATTACACCTATATATACCACTTATGGTTAGGAATCGAACCAATACCATAGTTATAACAATAGGAAAAGACTAATGTTGTGTTATTATATGGTGATGATAAAACGAAGAAAAAAAAAAGAAAGATTGTTTCTACATTTATTTTATGCGTTTTTTTTCCTTTGTTCTGCCTTGAAAGTGGTGTGTTGTTGTCTGTGTGTGTGTGTGTGTGAGTGTGAGTGTATGGTATAGCGCTTAAAGTAGTTTGTGCTTTTATTAATCAATATACATTTTATCTCGTTCATACGATCTGCATCATCATCATCATAAATGAATGTTTGTTCTCTGTATTTATCCTTTAAATTTTGTTTGTTTCCATTATGAATGTACGATTTTGCGAATGTAGTTAAGTTACACCTAACAAAATATTACAATATCGAATGCTGTTAGAGATCGAGTGATCAGTGAGGATGATAGTAGTGACTTTCTGGTTGTCCATAGTTTGAAAAAAAAAATTGTTTATTAAGGTATCTTTGAAAAGGGAGTTTTCTATGGAGATTTTAAGCAATTTATATATATAGTTGAAATCATTAGTCAATTGAAGGAAGAACACTGTGGGAAACCACGAAGCACTGGACGACCGTTTTGTCCTATTATGGGACTCCTCAGTTGTGCGTATCCACGATCCCGCCTCACGAGATTCTAACCCAGAACCAAACAGTCTCGCGTCAGAGCACTTAACCGATAGACCACTGAACAGGCATTCAACGGTGTTAATGTCTAACTTCAACCAATCCACGAAGTTCAGCAACCATTTCACCAATGTCCTCAATGAGCTGATATCTCCCAACAGACCTTGTTGAATTCTACTGGTTACTGCTTCTCACTAGAACTCCAGCAAATACCTCATAGAGCCAATCACTAGTGAGCATATGATAAGGGGATTTTGTGTGGAGATTTTAAGCAATTTTTACATATAGTTGAAATCATAAGTCAATTGAAGCTAGGACACCGTGGAAGCACTGGAAGGCCGTTTCGTCCTAATATGGGACTCCTCAGCAGTGCGCATCTATGATCCCACCTGGTAAGTCCTTGTATTCGAATTTCACGAGGTGGAATCGTGGATGCACGCTGCTGAGGAGTCCCGTAATAGGATGAAACGGCCGTCCAGCGCTTCCAGGTTTTTGATGGTGGTCTAGCTTCAATTGAATCATGATTTCAACTATGTATCTCTGAAAAGGAAACTAGTACAAACTCTATGTTAATCATGACAAATTGATTGATAGCCATAGAACTATACACAGGCGAATGAAAGTTTGCAATAAAATTAGAAATCTTTACGAATAAAATTCAGTAGATTTGTCTGAGTCAGTTGAAGTTGTGAATGTGACCAAATAGTTGAGATTTAATGAACCAATTTATATAAATATATTGTGGTGTGAGCTACTTATATCCACACAAGCAGTAGGTGTAGACTACGAGATGATAGCAATCGATGGTTAGAGTCCTTGAATGACATGGCTCAAAATCGTTTGTAATCGCAAAGGTGCATTCACTCTTTGTATTCTCCCAAATTCTAATCTTCTGAATTCTTCGTATCCTTTTCTCTTTCCAAATTTATTCCACTGGATTATACTCCTTGAATAACATCTTCAAACCCTAATTATTCGGTTTACTGCCTATACTCTTACTACTTCTACCACTATGGGATTTGAATCGACAACTGCATCTGTGTGCTAATGTGGTATGGCAACTCGAACTGATGTACGTACGTACGAACTTCTACATTGTGACTGAGTACATAACGATGGTCAGACATGGAATAGCTTCAACCGACTCATGATCTCAACTATTAAAATATACACGAATGTTTTCTATTTAATTGATTAAAATTTGTCTTTGTTCACATAACTCAAACACTGATGATGGTTAGGATACACTTTAATAATTGATCTTCTATAACTGAAATATATAATTACTGTTGAATAATAAATATATCTAATTATGAACAGAGACCCGTCATTCGTTAACGATGTGTATTTATAAGTTTTTAGGTGCTTAGATGTAGTCGATAGCAGCAAACCAAGTATGGTATAAGTTTCGTACTAGTTGATTCTTGTCAACAAGAACTACTTTTAATCTTGAACTACCAGCATGCAATCTCATAGGCAGGTTATTACATCACAACACAGTCACAATTCTTGAGTAGGTTTCCAGGATTTCCTGCTTGGAATTAGTGGCTACTAAGGACACAATAATTTTTATTACGGGATTGAGTTATGGAGGTTACAGAATTTTTTTTTTAAATCTTAAGCTGACTGTATATGGACTAGTGATACTGTCCTGTTTCGAATATACGATAATATCGATGTGAATACATCTGAAAAATATTGGACCAATGAAAGCAATTTGTAAATCATTAGTGATAACAACAATATAGATTACATAACTAAACCTACTAAGTACCAAGTACAAACTGTTAGTAAGTTGAAAGGTTCAGTACGCATTGTAAGAATAACAAGCAGCATGATAAAAGGAACAAATATCTTCGACATTGGAAAATCGATTACCATTTATCTACACAATGTGTGAATGAATATAACAAAAAGTTGAGAAACTTGAGATTGTATGATGGATTTCCTACGGACCTTTTATTGGTTCGAATTCGTTATCTGTTTGATAAACGGGATTGAAATCTAATGTCGAGGGATTAAATTTAGACGATAAATAAATCTAAATACTCTATTTTTCACTACCACATGATCACTATCATCCAACTGTGATAAAACAAAGCTAAATCTCAGTTTTGTTTGATCCTTTTCAAAACAAGGGGAAGGAGTTCACTTGGTATTGTTTGTTTGAATCTTCTCATTGATATTTGGGACTGTAACTGGTCAGTCTCTTATTGGTATATGTGCATACTGTGCGTATTGCCTCGATATATTGGAAAAAGGAGATTCTGGTTAATTAGTTGACTACAACTTTCTTCATACTGAAACGGTTAAACTAAGTAACTAATCTTTCATTTATGGGATTATTATTTGTTGACTCAAGAATGCCAAATAAAGATTTTGGTTGTATAAAAGATTTTTTTGAGACCTCAATCTAGTCGATCACATAAAACATTGCTAGCTGTCTCTGTTCAATCAGAGCTTCAGGTAATGAGATTTCTTACAAATAGTAGTTATGACTTCTTATTCACTGTATATATGTTTCTTTTAAACACCTAATGGAGCTTTGATTCAATGTTTAAGTCGTTCAACTTTCAATAATTGTATTTCAAGTTTAAACCCTGCTGTATCTACTTCGGTTTGGACAACGTGGTAGTTTTGCTAGCTTAAGCCGTTAGGATTTGTTCCGAAGTCAAGCACACTTCTATATATTTGGTAGATGAGTTAAATAATAGACCTGTGTTTATTCGGACTGATATTTACAATGTGTAGTTCTTCGAAAATAATTATAAAGAATTTTTTAGTCACTCAGTACCACGTGAAAGTGAAATTTATTATTGTTGCAATTAACTTCATTTCCGTGAAGTCATAATAGTCATTGTTTACTTACTTACTTACTTACTTATGCCTGTTACCCCTCGTGGAAGAGCATAGGCCATCCACCAACACTGTCCATCCAACCCTATTCCGGTCAATCCTTTCCAGTTGCTATTCATCCTTTTCATGTCTGCTTTCAATTCCCGACGTAATTTATTCTTCCGCCTTCCTCTTTTCCGTCATTGTTTACATTCAATAATATTAAATAGAACAATTTTTTTATATACGCTCATTTTATGTCAAACAAATCAAAAATGTTATTGCAATCACTAACTGAACTTAGACAACCATACAGAATCCGGAAGAACTGAACGGCTTTTTCATCCTAGTATGAGACTCCTCAGTAATGCTCATCCAACTGCCGGGTCCGAACTCAGAACTTTCGGTCTCGCATGTAAATGTTCAACTTCTAGACCATAGAGCCACATTTCAATGGTTCATACTTTGACATTCAATCATTTCGTGATATCGCTAAGGATTCCCATACTAGAATGAAACAGTTACCTACTATTTTTAGGTTTTTAATTGATTGCCTAAATGTGATCATTTCATGATCTCAATCACATTCAACAATCTCCACTTGACACATAATGAAAATTAAAAAAAGTTAACTATCCAGGTCTCGAATCTCTTTAAAGATGAAGTCTAGATATCTATGGTCTTCTTCAGTTGATTGTAAAATATCCTCAAATGTGTAAAGGTTAATACTTGAATAATGATGACAAACTTATCAAATATTCTAGTAAAGTATTCATGTATGATAACCGATAATTATAACTGATAGCATAGATTATTTATTTTTATCAGCTTATTTTCAAAAAAGAGAGGTTTTCAGTAGGTGAAGAAGTTGATCTTTGTGCATGTATATGCATGTATATATAAAGATGGCTGGGATCAATAAACTATATTTTGTTTTATATGCAAAGATGGAAAGTAGTTAGCAGCGTAATCCAGGACGCGCATTTCGTCCTGTTCGGGACTCATCAGCGGGATGTTGATGTTCACTCTGTGATTCGGACCCAGTACGTTCAGTTCAAACGCCATCACGTTATCCTCATAGATACTGACTCGTGATAACCACATGCATTTTAAGATGGGGTGAAGTTTAAATTCACCTAATATTGTTTACTTGAATCTTCTGATTGATGTTTAAGACTTCATTTGATCAGTATCTTAGTGACATATGTGTTTACTGTGTGTATTGCCTGGATATAGCCTTAATTCACAAGTATTATAAGTAAAGATGAATAGTGGCAGTTCTAAACATCAATTAGAAGATTCAAGTAAACAATGCCAAAATGAATTGAATATTTTGTTGTTTTAATTAATATCATGTATCGATTGATGTTAGACCACCATTGAAAACCTGACAGCACCGGACGGCAGTTTCGTTCTATTATGGGACTCTTCAACATTGCTCATCCACAATCCCGCTTGTGGGATTTGGTTTCGCGAAAGAATGCTTAATCTCCAGACCACTGAGCAAACCTTTATAAAAGTACACATTGATGAAACTTTAGAAATGTATTCATTCAACTTCTGAGAAGTTGGTTACCTTAAATATAATGTGAGCAATCTAAACTTTATTTATTATTTATTTGTTTAAACACATAAATATTGGTACAAAGAGGCACCAGATATATATACGCCCCACAAATCTCATTTGATCGGTGTCAGGGCTGTGATATTACCCAGGTACCCAAACTGAAGCAGATGGCTTTCTTAGGAGGCAACACCCGGAGTCTTTGACCTAAAGATCCGATCCACAACACAGTGGAGCATCGTGAAGAGATGCAGTCCCATAGTAGACAGTGACCAAAGATTGTTTCCTACGACATTTGTTCCCTCAGGATACTGGAGCCAGCCCATGTGCATCATTGATTTGGAATGAGTGTGGACTTTCCGTATCCACCAACTTGGTTAAAGAGCTGTACATTGGATTTTCGTCCTCTCAATTTCGTAAACAACAGTAATGCTGTGAAAAGGCAGTGAATAGAACTTCCCTGACAGAGGCTGCATATGCGTGGCCATGGGAGAACGGATTCTCCCCACT